ACGGCATCAAAAAGAAAAAAAAAAGAAAAATGCTAAAAAAAAAAAAATATAGGGGTGCGATGATGTACGTGTTCCCGGCAATGTAATTAATTTCACAGTATTTTATGCATAATGTTTTTTTTTTTTTTGGATTATTATTATTTTTACCGTTTTCGCATGTTTCTACGCAGCTCCGGGGGTAACAATAGCGTTATATTATTATTATTATTATTATTATTATATACTAAATTTCCCTAATAATATTATATTATATTGACTATACGCGTTAGGCGGATAGGTATATACGAAATCATAAAAAAAATTAAATAAAAAGCTGTAGGTACACTATAAATTATTTTATACTGCCAAAATAAATGGCGCCTAGGTGTACTTAAAGTGTATACGAAATTATTAGACCACAATTAGTTTTATTATGATTAACGATATAAAGTCCAAATTCCTCCACATCTCCTCCCTCCATTCCGAAACGGATCTATTGTAAATACTTTAAAGAATATAAGAATATATAAAGTACAAAAAAAAAAAAAAAAAAAAAAAAATGAATAGCTTCTTGTTTCTTCTATACATAATAATAATAATAATAATAATAATAATACTATTGTCGATCATTTTTACGGTAAAAGAGATTTTATTCACGTAAATGGAAAATATACGAACAGTCGTAGTAGTGGTAGTAGTTAAAACTTTTATAAACGTTGAATTTTAAACCGTCAAAAATCAACATGAAATACACTTCGCCTGTGTTTATTTTTAGAAATTTAAACTACAATAAAAATGTTCGGTATATAATAGACTTTTCGGTAGGTTAAAAAACTGAATAGGTATTGCATAATACATTTTTTGGGGGTTTTGGCTAGAAGAGAACGTTGAGACATTAAATTCCAGATTAAATAAACAATTTTATAACAATGCAATACCATTATAATTTATTATAATCTAATCAGTATTCAGTCGATGAATAAATTGTAATTATAATTATTTAGTTGTGCATAATATAATATAATACGCATCTGTGCGAGTGCTTGGGGACCTCACGTCTTGAAACTTATCCTTACTGCTGACACAATGAGCACCTCTGTATACACGCGTATAACATCTCATAAATCTTAAACTTTCTCGTGTGTATAATGTAAATAATATTTTGATGTGTGACCCTCCAAAATCGTTACAGAGGTACCTATATATAATATAGATTTGATAGCGATAATAAACGTTTAGATCTGCAGTTCCGTTAAAAAGCATTAAAAACGTTCCTGTGTGAACGGTAAACGAGTCGGACGTATATTGCTATTGTATAACGAGGTTGTTTTATACTTGAACGTGTTAACAAAAAGCGAGGGCGACAGAGCAGCAAAAATCAGAATATCGGATAGGTAACGGAATAAGTCACGTCGGTTCACCGCTAGTTAAAATACATCCTCTCGCATGTATCTACTGGAAAAACTAAACGTTTCGATTTTTAACAGAGATTATCTCGTTAAAAATAATCGTAATCGAAAAAGAAAAAACTGGCTCTATACATACTGTTATAAAATCGGGGGAAAATTTGAATAGCTACACTGAAAACTATTTTCTTTTTAATAATTTGTGGGTTTGGAGTAGAGCGACGCGGAATGTAAGTACCTATATAAATTGTTATTGAATACTAAGATACCGTACGTTTTGTTTTCCTCAAAAATGATTTTCAAGAAACGAACAAAAAACGACACAAAACATTCTCAGAGCACATTAAAACAAATGCGTTTTCCGTCCAGTAGTATTTTATTGGTAATATATTTCGAGATTCCCGAGAGCTGAGAGTTTTTTTTATAGTCATTTAATGATAATACTCCGCTTTTGAACGAAATCAGTAATATGTAGCACACGGAGATCGGAAATTTTGAATCTACCTTTATTAATACCTACACGAATAGACAGACAACATTTCGAAGCAAGATTTTAAACTTCAATTTTCTGTACGGACCCTTGATTTTAGATTCTGAGAGGAGCGAAAAAATAGTTGGTTTTACAAACATGCTTATTATTTTTTTTTTTTCTATCTATTCACAAATTTTCTACCAGAAATTTTGCTCCAAATTTTAAGTGTAGCACCTAACCTTACGAGGTACATTAAAGAGGTCATTTTTTGATTTTCTCAGGAGATTTTTTCATCAAATGTGAAAAACCGAAAAAAAAAAGGAAAACGGAACAATGTACGAAATGACGAAATGTATTGGTATTGGTTAAAAATATTTCGGCCCCTTTTTTTCTCTGAGCAACTTTTTCCCCTTACAATTTATGTATAACTTGAAATTAATTTAACCTCATTTTGACATTATTCAATGAAATCTATTTTACAATGGTATTTGTGGGATATTGTTTGTACTATTCTAGTGGGTATTTATTGTATTACACACGGTTTATAATAATTATTGACCGCAATTTGAAAAACGATTCTTGTAATCAGTTTCATAATATTTTATTAAAAAATAATAAATTATACTCGACGCAATTATAGTTCAACGCAAAAGTACAAAAAACGGAAGAAGAAGAAATTGACCAACATGCTTTATTATTATTATCAATAAATATGCTAATTCGCTAAGGGTTTTTAACTGTTGGTCCAAACCTGACATGCGGTACTGGTGAAGTTATTTACGGTCTTAAAGCACCATACAGCAACTTTTTAAGTCAAAGTACGTTGACACACCATAAGTTTCCATATATTTCAAAAAGTTACTAAATGTTTCATCAATAATTTATTGCAAGCAACAATCATTTATCATTGTTTGATGTTTCAATTGAGAGCGAAACATGTTATCAAAACAGAATATAAAATTGCTAAACACGAGGTGACACGATGTAGCTACGAGTTTATCAGTGTTAACTATTTGTTTATTAATGTTGCTGTGGATTTGTTGTCTACATTTGTCCGTTATGTTTCCGATGTAGCAAATGGATTTTACGTATTAAGGAAATATATGAAACTATCGAGAACCTACATGTTGTCATTCTATGTTGCCTTAGTGTGGACCGGGCTTAAGTGTAAACCTAAAACCTACCTACTACTTAGTAAATTAAAAAAAAAAAAAACAAGATGAGTTTAGATAAAGTCGGGAGGAATTTCAAACAATATTTGACACCGTCAGAACATATATAATATAATATGTCGAGTTGTATGATAAGGTACCGGCTTAAAACGAATAACGCGATCTGGCCATTCGGAGGGTCCGTTTGCGTCTGTGGCCCGTTTCGAAACGGGAAACGTTAATACGCTGCCTGTACGGCTCGTAATATTCATTATTATAAAATATGAAAGTACCGGAATATATCCACTGCGGTATAGGTATATATTATAATTTATACAAATTTCACAAATACATATTTATGGAGTTTAAAAACTTCGGAAACGCGCTTATATAGGCGTAGGAGATATAATTTCGAAATCGAATAATGATAACAAAAAAAAAAAAAAAAAAAGTAGTTAACTGACGTTTGCAATCGTACACGAATTTTAAACAGCCCGCACAGTTTCTTATTTATACTGCGCGCGTATGTATCGACGAATAACTTCGTGTAAAATCGTATTTTTCCATTTGTCCAAAGTCGAAATAGAAATTTCGTCTCGGATATACTGCAATATTTAAGTACGAGTTTATGTATACATTTGACGTGGAAATGAAAACGCTGACGTGCAAACCGTAAATGTAGGTAGGTAGGCAGGTATGTATGTATATAATATTATACGTTGAAAACTCTTCTGCACAGCGATGTTACTAATTTATTCTCACTGTTTGTTTACGGTGAAAAAAGAGCTCGGGGCGCACACAAAAACATCATATCATCTCTTAAGAGCTTTTCGAAGCCCCGCACATTGTGTACACACACTATATTATATATATATAAATATTATATATATATATATATATTATATTTGCTGATGCTGCTGCGTAGTACTGGTGCAGCATTCAAATGCGCCCCACAGTTTGATTTCCTATACTCGAATGCTTCTCACACATGCGTCACGGTCGTTTATACATACGTATAATGTTTACCGAGATCGGAATATTAAAAAAATGAGTAAAAAAAAAACTCGTCTTCGAATGCGCACAACTGTTGAGTTTTTTTTTTTTTTTAATGGACTCGGGACATTAAGCCCCTCTGCTTCAGCGTTCAAAATAATAAATAAGTATTATAAAACCCGACCGAGTGCATATAAATCTCCCGCAAACACGTCGAGTATACGTAACGTATTATATGTGTGTATGCGCCAATGTTGCATAATATAAAGGCCGCAATCGTCGAACGGAAACTTACTGTGCAGAAATGCCAGAAATACAAACGGTGAAAAGTGGAAATTCTCGGAAATTCTACTGGGTCGATACGGCGACTGGGTGGTGTGAAATGACTTTAGGCAGCTCGCGGTATCACGTTCAACGAGTCTGCAGTCGAACCGACATAAACAACGTATATAAACTACATTTCTTGGATCCCGAAGAAGAAAGGCTTAAGTCAAGTTAGGGCTTTTTTTTTTTTTTTATCTATTGGTTTTCTGATTTGAATGGCAATAGAGTACTCTGTACATACGTACATGGTGAACCGGTGAAACGGGTTGAATTTTATAGTGGTAGCACTGGGGGGCTTCTAGAAAATCAATAGTGCAATTGATATGTTCAAGGGCAAATACCTGCAACTTAGTAATCATGGTCGATTCACAACGCGCATTTGCTGTGAAGGCATATTACAAAAACGGTGATGGTCTGACTGCCGCTCGCAGAGAATTTTGACGTCATTACAATTCGGGACGTCATAATCGTGTTCCATCATGTAACGTGATCAAGATTCAGCTTGATAGTTTGAAGGAAATAGATTCTCAGCTCTCAAAAAAAAAACTACCAGCAGTTCAACGAACCCCTGAGAAAATTGAAGCAAACGTCGTTTAAAAAGAGCCCACGACGTTCCGTAAGAAAACGAGCAGCAGCATTAAATATCAGACGAACAGCTGTCTGTCGAATACTGGAATGCTGCGCAATAATTTTAACTCGCCCAATAACGTTTCTCCGGTCGAAGAATCAACAATCGAAGAAGAAATTGCTTTGATTTCCATGAAGATGTTACCAAGAGTCAAAATCTTCACGCACGATTCCAGAAGTGTATACAAAGGAACGGCACCATCTAACTGACATTATTTTCCGAATTTGAGATTTTAGTGTTTTGAACCTTGTATGGCATATTATGTACTCTATGTCTTTCTCAATAAATATTGAAAACAAATTGTTTAAATGTTCGTAAGAGTTATTTCAAATTTCCCCCGTCCACTGGTCCACGGCTCTGTATATTCTAACGCACTTATTATACTAAGAAATTTAAATATCTTAAGTTACTATGATATACTTTTTATTTTAGCGAAAATAGACAATTAGTCATAATTGTATTACACTATGACTTGTGTCATCTGTACTGGTTTTCAACATTTCATTCGACCGTATTTAAAACTATACGAAATTCATCTAGTAGTTCAGTCCTTCACCCAGCTGGACTCAAAATAAAAATTATCAGTTTCTAAAAAGTATTACATAAACTAAATGAAAAAAATGTATTGCCAAAATGAGAGTGATGTAATGTTTGTTAGCTGGTTACCTCTTACCCGTAAAACGGAACTCTTGTTATGTAATGAAAGATTAAAAAAAAAAAAACAATTTTCGAATTAAAAGTTATTCGTTTAAATTTCTGATATAGTTTTGCAAACAACTATATATTATTATTTTGAATAATATCATTATTACCTACGGGTTATTTCATGGGGTCATGGGTATAATAACAACATACACTATAAACCGCTTATAAGGAATTAAAATATAAATTATACCGTTCTTAAACATTATTTTTAAGTTCTTAAGTTTTATAAGCCCTATATAAAAATTATATAAAACTAAAATTTATCATCTCCGTATTAATTATTATTTTCGTATTTAGGTATATTGTTATAACAATATATAACAATAATTGTTTATTGTGTTCTATACTATAACATTATGATGTTTTTTGTTTATCGTTATAATTTCAAAAATTAAAAAAATGTTAATTAAAATTAATGTGTATTTTATTACATGTTTGCGTACTCTTATTTTTATAATACCGTGTGCAATATTTCGTATTGTTTTATAAACAATTTAGTTATTATTAAAATTATATCGGTTAGGTTAGATCATAACGTAGGAGTAAAATCTTAAATTTTACTCTTTTAATATAATTTATATTACACATATATAAAAGTCAGCCATCGCGAGGTTATCATTTTATTAACACTACCGATATAATTTAAATTTTATAATACAAAATATTTCTGTATACATCAATTATTTACAAAACGAATAAAAAACAAAAAAAAACGCATTAATTTTGTGTCGAAAAAAGAAAAGAAAAATATATATATTTTTTTTTAATTACAAATCAATATAATTACCATTTCGATTTTTACAATTGATAATAAATCAATATATCTGATATTTATTGACTTACTTCGTGTGTATATTTATTTCAGAACGCCGGTGTTCATCTGTTTACTTTTGTAGTCCTGCTAATTGGCTCGGCTGTACTACTCGAATGCACCACTACTGGATCCGGAATCGTATCGGCTATCAGGGAAAGTATGATGGGCTTGATGATGCAACCGTACAGCGAATCGGCCACAAATACGTTAAATATGATTCAAGAATCTGTAAGTCAACATTTTCAATATCATATTGTTTAAACATTTTTGATTTGTGTACAAAAAAAATATAATAGTAACCGAAAAATTAAGAACTATCCCTAGGCACAACTAGGAGGCTGCTAGGAGGTACTTAGCACCCCGTAAATACCCCGATCAGCATTTCCACAGCGATGACTAAATATTTTATCCATGTATTTCATAATTAATGAGCAGAAGAAATTTACAGGTTCCCTACAAACAACGCACTAGTGTATGAAAAATAATGCTAAAATGTACACGGAATTGTTAATAAAACGTGTAATTGACGGTTGTAAGCAATAGCGCCGAACCAGGGGTACAGGTCGAGCGACCGTTCGACTAAACGTGTTGCTGGTGGGTGAAAACTATGCATATAATATGAATAGTATTTGTATAAAATATAACGGTAAAATATAGTGCTATGAGTAATCCTAATATATTACGCTCAGAGAAGACCAGTATAATACAGTATTTCTTCGATTGCTCGAGTATTATTAAACTAATTAGGCGCCCACTAATTGTAAGGATCGTATAAAGAAGACTGTTTAGTTTTTAATTTGCTTAGTAAAAGTACTTAAATATTTAATACGAGTTAGGCACAGTGTATTCATTTTTGTATAAAGTTTATGTATTAAATTCTGAGTAGAATAATTATCAAGATATGTTTAATAATTATTGTTTCTAAATTAATTACCGTTTCTTAAATAAAGTCAAATGTCAGTTAAATTATTTGTCGGGAAATTCTTCTTTTCTTTTTCTTTCCCTTCGCCTTCTTCGGATCTTAGTCATCTTCGTGCCATTTTCGATTTCATCTAACCGCCTCTTTTTAGGTTTTTCTTTTCCTTTATTTTACCCTAGGTTTATTTTTGATGCTAATCTTTTTGCTTCCAAGTTCGCTGTCCTTACAATACACCCAAACCATCTCAGTTTATATTATTTTTTCTACTACTATCTTCTCTCGTCACTCCACTCATCCACTTAAGCATTCTTATCCCTGCTATACTCATTCTGTGTTCTTTTTGTCGATCATTACACACTCTTGTAGAACTTACCTTTAATTTTCATTAGAACTATCTCGTCATAATTTGTTAGGGAAACTTAGGTCTAAATTCTACTTATCGAGCAATATATACTTGAGTGTACAATATTTCATCTATAAGTAGACAGATTGGTATTACACGCGTACATGTATTATGCATGATCATCTATTAATATAATAATTAAAACCAATCCACGGTATTTAGAACAAATAAATGAATAAATAAGTTATTTTAACACAATTGATGAAATAATTATAATATATTATAGGTGTCTATCGTAATTATGTATATTGTATGCATTTATTGTTGTACAAGTTATTTGTTGAACCTGTAACATGCTGTTTTAACAGTAATAATTATTTATCAACAATAAAACAATAACAATCGCGTATAATAAATTACGATAATTTTCATTAATATTGTTTTCCGAATAGATTTATTAAGCTCTTTTGTATGATTAACGTTAAGACATTTTGATATATTTTATGAAAAGAAATCAATTTTAATCAACCTCAGGATTAATTTTAAAAATTATTTATGTCATAAGTACTCGGATGACAAAATGTTATTTTATATTATACGTAATTAATATTCTTTATATCTTCGACTTAACCGAACTTCTTCTTAATTTTATTCTGTAACTTTCTTCATAATATTATACAATAACAATATTCCTTAAAACTATGTACTCGTATATTACGCACTAAGTATATTATAAACTTCAAAGAAATATACTACTTTCATAATATAGGATTAATTTTATACCTATTTTAATTTAAATATTATTATTAATTATTAAAAGTATAGGTATTTTAAACACGCATTTGAATATATATTTTAGATTCTGACTGTAGCGACGAAGGGTATGCTTTTACAAAGATGTTTTATTTATTCATTTGCTTTATATGTGCTCAACTTTTCTGCAGGAAATTTTACTATGATTTACAATGATAACACATTTTATAAAAGGAAATTTGACTGGGGAGGTACTTTAGGTAAGTCACATTTCAATTTTCCCAAGCGTTTTTTTAGCAAATGTGAAAAACTGGGGAAAACGTAGGAACAACGGGAACATCGGTACAACATTAAACAAATATTATTAAAGGAAATATAATTTAATTATTTTACTACAATATAACATATACATTGTTGACAAAGCATAATTATCAAATGTACTCCGGTCAGAATCGTTTTTCGTTATCAATGGTTTATTGACTTATCGTTGCTTACAGGTATACATTAAAATACAATTATCCCGGGGCAGCTTTTTTAAATATATATCCATGTGCTTTTTTAACATTCGCATAATTTTTTAAATTATTTTAACCTTGTCATTTTTATAGTTGAAATACGCAGAAGTGTCACTATTATGATGGTTGATGTGATTACTACAAGGTGTTTTATTAAATGCATAAAATTCATTATGTTAAAATTAGTTCATTCGTAAGTCGACGTAGTACACGAGTAATAACTAAGATTATGGTAAACAAGTTGAATCGTTTTTTTGGTCATTTTTTAAAAGCATACAATTCGACTCCACTATTTTTTATACCTTTAAAATGTAGATCCTTACGGTCTCTCTCTCTCTCTTTTGCAATCGATCCTCAGAATGGTTTTTAGCTTCACTTCATCCGTAATTGTCTTTCGGTTTTTCTACGTACCTCTTCCCTTAAAGTCTCATCCCTGATATGTGTAATAAATTTCCACAGACTTCAGCAAATTTACTGATTTCGTCTTCTTATCAAATTTATCAATTTCTAGTTTTTCTTTGACTATTCTATTTAGCATTTTTGCATTTGTTTTTTTTCGGTCCTGCTCGTTCTTAACGTTTCTCTGTAGCACCAATTTTCATAAACGCCTTTTTTGGGAAGAGGGGAGGGGTAAGAAGGTGGTCATTTATATATATATATATATGTTTTTTTTATTTACAACATTTTCCTTCCCATTCATGTCAAAAAGTTAGGACTGCGTACACTTTTATTGATTAATAGGTACAGTAGGTATAGATGTATTTCTTAAAAATGTTTATTTCTTTTTTAAAAAATTATTAATTATAAATTACCACAACTGTTATTATCTGCTTATCTCAAAAATCGCCAATGACAGCAACTTGTATGTAGCCTTATCATTATACAAGTTTGTATATTTTCTATAAAACGAATTGTATCCTAAATTAATCAAGTTATTAACTTATACAAAGAACGTGTTTAAAATGTTTAACAACTCAAATCTTTTTAGAAATTTAATACGACATAACAAAATATAACACGCATGGTAATAATTATTATTTTAAAAACTATCGATTTTGATCTTGACTGGAATTTTTTAGATGAAATAGTAAATATAATAGACCCTTGGGAAAAAAACAGTAAAAAAAAAAATTATGTAAAATTTTGTTGAATAATGCATTGTATGTACGAATTTCATATTATTTTCGAGAATATGTTCTGCAAATTATTACCTTGACTCTCCCGTGGGATCATTGACGTTTTACTTCTCGTCATCCTTGTACTAAACTAATAATGATAAACGATAATGTTCTACATCGTATAGAGTGTATATTTAAATTTTATATTATGTACACTACTTACGGTATGAATAATTCGCGAACCCTAAATTACCCTATGTTTTCATGTAAATATTTTAATATATATCGATAACATAAGATACTAATCGGAGTGATAAACGCATTGGTTTTATTATATAACGTATATTTCTGCATTTTTGCTAGATTAGAACCTAATTTATATAGTAAAACCTAACTCCTTCACAGGAGTTTATTGTATAATTTTCGGTCTAGTTGGTGTGCATTTGAAAAGTAATTTTTTCGAAAGTTCTTAATTTAAACCATTTAAGGCTCTTATACTGGTTCAAAAAAAAAAACAAAAAAAATACATAGTTGTACTATAAAAATTTGGGAAAAAATTATTAAAATTCACGTTACATTGTAAACTAATTATAACTTTTTTTAAAACTTCATACTTATTTTAAATTTAAATTTAGCATTTTTTACCCGGGCTCTGTCTAGAAGAAACGTTATTTTTTGTTTGTAATGATTTATTATTGAATATTTTTTTAATATAAGAGACTTTTTCTTATAACAAAAATATTTAATAATCCATTCGGCATTGATGTTATTATTATGCAGAATAATATACTGAATTAAATAACGCGTTTAATTATTATTATAATACTGCATTATTGCAGTAAAATGTTCATCATTATTATTAATACTGAATCCACTAAAAATAAAAAATTGTCGAGATTCTATTGTATGCAAAAAAAAGAGCAAAATATCATGAAATCCCGAACAATGAACAATATGACGATGGTATTACCGTCCCATCCTGAGCGGAAAATAATAATTGTTTCCGGCGAATGTAATATATTTTCAAATACGAAGGTATTCAATGTATAGGTACGAAGCCAACAATAGAAATAAACATTTTTTTCTTTTGTACATGAAATCGAGCGCGCACACATTTTAAACACACGAAAAACCCATATTATAGTAATATTATATAATATGCTAAAATTCCATAGAATAAGCTCGTAACTAACTATACCAGTACATGGTCGTTAAAATCGCAAGAGACCTGCGGTGAAATCTGCCATAAAATAATTTTTTTTTTTTTTTTCAAATAGCAACTCGTGTAAAAACTTTGAATATGATTAATCGCTACGTTCAGATAAAAATTTAATTACTCTTTGTATCCTATAAAGATGGCTTAAAGGCCAAATATGACATAGGTATCACAAAATGTTGAATTGTTCAGGAGAACCATTCAAAGTTTTCGAATTTTTCAAATCCCTATAGTTTTATTTCAAATTTAATTTTTAACTTATGCGTAAAGTCAATATGGTGTTGGACTTACCGTGAAATTTGTTTGTTTTATATCTTTCAGGTCGGGTTGTGAACATACAAGTATTTTAGGGACATTTTATTTAATATTAAACTATAAGTAAATGTAGTTGTACCGTAAATTAACAATTTATTACAATTTTCCAAAATTGTATTTATCAGTTTTGTCAAATATTCAAATAATTTATGTCCGTTGTATGTTTTACACGTTTTATTTGTTCACTAAAAATTACACCAATTAGAATATTTTTTTGTGACAATGTCTTTGAAATTAGTATTCGTGTACATTAAAAAATAATACTACCAGCTCGTAAAATGCCAAATATTAATACTATGTAACACAGCTCTAATACGTTTGAGAAAGATTTTGCCTGATACACGTATTAGGCAGAATCGTAAAGAGGGTTGAGTTTTTTTGATTGACTATTAAATATAGCCGATTTTTTGAAAATTCTACAAATTATATTCGGCATTTAAGCTATCGATATCTTTTCATCTTCCCACCTACAACAGTGAAACACCGATAAAATGTATAAACTCATTTTATTTAACTCTACAACGAATTTAATGCACCCGAAAAAAATCATAGTCAAATATATTACAACATTGTATAGATTTCATACAATAAGTTTGTCTGTATGTTGTTAGTCCATCGTAGAGTGTTTGTTAACCGAAAATATCGGTTTTGAAAGGAAACAACCGTTATCTTTAATATCGGACCGTAATAATAATAATGATAATAGGAAAATAACTTACGCTGATCAAATTTTCAAATTATGTACATCTCGAATGTCGTCGCTGACATTGAGATAATGACAATCAAACGACAGTAATATCACTCAAGTATTTATTACGAATATTCCATTTCTGCGAGTGAGTACGAGATTTCAATGAATTTTACAGCGGAAACATTAGGTCGTGATCCGCGGTAGACACATGATTAGCAAAACAAATTACCAATGAACAGCAGAGTTCCGTCACTAGAGTCAAAATTTCTCCCGGAGGACTTGACACTATTGCAGTATTTAATTTTTAATTTGTAGATTTGATCTAAAACTGTTACGGAAGCCTGATTGATATGTTCCATTTAACCTGTAGAGATATTTAAAACCCAATATTTCCTTTGAAATCGTGAAATTTAAGCATACAAATGATTGGCGAGGGGTTTGAAAATTGAAACTCTTAAATGGCACATTATTAATATTTACACTATGCATTTACAAAAATATAATACCATTGTATTAATTTGGGGAGCCTGTAAAGGTGTTCAAAATCAGAAAACACCTTCTCACAACAACATTTGATATTGGTTTGATTGATGTGATTTTATATTGGAATACAACAAGAATTGTATTTTATTCAGATGATGCCTCGGAAAGTGTCGAAAAGTAAGCAAGAAAAAGATACATGTATTTACAGACATATAAGAGTGCAATAGTCTCTTTCCTGGGAAAATTTGTAGAATATCTAAAATACGGTGATTAACATATTGTTTGATAACGAACGGTTTTTTTTATCAAGGTTTTTACCTACCAGCACTAGCTGTTACTGGAAATGGATCAATTTCGCATCTTTTATTTTACCCAGATATCCAGTTATGCAGTAACTCAGAGCAAATTATCTTGAGACCTTATCTGAGATAAATAATTAATTGCATCGATCTCACAACCGTTTTTGAAACCTAGATGTGTATCATATTGGTACACGGTACACATCTGGCTCATGATAAATACTGAAAAATTTGGTTTTTTATTATCCAGATATAAAATAGCTGATTATTATTTATCGCTTTATCTGTAATCTAGATAATTAAATGTTTTTATGTAGGGTGCGTTTATCTTCGTCTTGATAATATAGTTCTAGCAATTTGGCAATACTGTCTCTTGACTCAATCTAGATATTTTAAAATGTATTATCATAAATACATGGTACATAGTACGTGAATTTGGCACCAAGACGACCCCGTTTGATCGATAGAAAAATACAAATTATAAACACATTTTCGTACGGTGACAATGTGATATTACCAAACGTTGGGCGCTTTGCGGTATACCTGTATATAGTAGATCGTGGAAGGTAAAAATAAAAAGTAGCCGATTCGATTCACGTGAAAAAGGAGACGAGGTTCGATTCTCGCTATTATTAGTAGGTACCAATAACACTGTATATTGTACCTACATATCTATACTTGCGCAGTACAGAAAACGTGACGGTTTTGCGTTATTTTCGTTTTTCCAATATATATTATATGTATACATTCGAAAACGAATATTATAGAGAGATAAAGAACAGTTTTTACGGACATCATAAACAGAACAAAGTCAGACAAACCAATTTCCGTTGTTTCCAGTGCCGATACGCGCCCTGCGATCATTTTGACGATATACATAATCCCGATTCCCGAAATATAAAGCCAGCCGTTGCATCGCCGAATTTTTCAACCGGAAACGGTATCGAGTTTCGTTTTAATACCGAAGACGTGCTATCGTCTCAATGTATCTTTTTTTGGTGTAGGAGGAGTAGATAGAAGAGGTGGAATAATAATAATAAATATACGTTTTTGTATAATCGAAAACGCGGCCGACTGTTTTTGCCGGTATTATATTGTACATAAAAAAAAAAAAAATATGTATCTATACAGCCATATAAGTATATTAAAAAACAATATTTTACAAAAAAGATATTGTATTCCTGTTTGAAGTTTAAAATGTATATAATATACGGTCTAATTAGATTAAAAATCGCGATATCCTCAAAAACGTTTGCTTATAAAACGCCCGGTTATTTTTCTATAATTACGAAGCGCTATCGTTGGCGATGTGCATCTACACCGTGTTTTAGTCAAACGATGACGTAAAATATTTTGACCGGAGGGTTCAGATTAAAGAGATTGTGGTGATTTTTTTTTTTTTTTTCATTTTATATCGGAGATCGGAGGTACCATAATACACTTGAACGAGTCTTTTTTTGTAAATGCAATCCTACATGCATGCGTAATATAATATTAATTTCCCCAAAAGAAAACGTCTGTTTTTAATAAACCCGATTCTCATAGTCCTATCATTTTTTTTTTAAATATACTTTACTAAAACGATTTTTAAACTAAAACTACCCGGTACAACATATATTTTTCAAGATTCTACAAAAATAATTTTAATAGTCAAAAGATCCCATAACTTTTGTTTTTCTGTTGGGAGAAGATTGAGAGTAATAACGATCATAAAAAAAATTACACAAACATATTATTACGTCATTCGGGTATGCGTATCATTAAAAAAAAAAAAAAAAAACGATAAATAAATCGTGGCAGCTGTATCCGGGGCGATTTTCGTGACAAAAAAAAAAAATTATTGTATTGGCTAAAAATAAAACATTATTAATCAAAAGTATTTGTTTCCGTTTATGAAAATGTAAATTTTATCGGGCGCGCTATCGTAAATATTACGGCTTTTAAAAACAAGTATAACCGAACTATGCTCAGAATAGTTTTTCATTAACAATGATTTATTGTTACGTACAGACATAAATCCAATTCCCTCCAACATTCCTAACATTACATTTAAAACCTGGGTCCGCTCATCTTTGACGCCAATTTGATACCGACCCACTACCGGCCTACCTAAACAACCAACAACCCACCCACCATCAATTTCAATCAAGCTCCATACGAGCTGAAATATTTCGCGTTACCGTTTTTGAATGAAACGAACTGATGCCTGTTAAAATAATATTGCAATATATCGTTCGTGTTTACCTGCTACGCATGACAATATTATTATGTTTACATAGGGTAAGCTCGTAACGCAAACACGAACCATAAATAAAGTTAATAATTCGTATTGTATTGATTTATAGCAATAATAATTATAATTTGATAGCGTAGATTATATATTATATGTATAGACCGAGAGTAAGCTGACATTGTTAATTTGTCTGTCATTTTAATTTCATTTTTTTGATTCTGAGCGAAGCGAGAACTGTATTGGTTTGACTGTGATGTTTTTTTTTTTTTGTTCAAATAACTTACTCCGGTCGAAAATTCTATAGAAACTCTCTTGTGTTGCATTTTATGACCCGGTCGGCGCATTGAGGAGAAATTATATTTTCTCGTATTTTTCTTATTAAACAGTAAACACCGTCAATTTGTTATATGTTATGATTTTTGTCGATTTCCGGGCCACCTAGGCAATAATAAGGAAATAAATTCGACTAATGGTACACGGCACAGAATTGAGTTTTTCGTTTCGTTAGCAACGAAACGTTTGTATTGCTCCGTACACAGAATCCCTTCCGACTTCCCTATACTAAAATAATAGTTCATCCGTTCCCAGTATCAGCTCTCTTTTTTTTCTTTTTTTTTTTGATTTTATGAAACAAACACTTACGATCTACGATACGCATGCGTATTTTTGCCAATCGGTCGAAAATACATTTTGCGTAATTTCGCATTCATGATATTTTAATAAATATAATAAATTTAATAAAACATCAATTAAAATAATTCTCGATTACCGTGCAGATTCTATATTATTATAATATATATATACACACATAATTAAATGCAGTTTTAGCATAATATTATTATCCGTAGACAGCGAAATACTGAATATTTCAGCGCGAAATACCGACTGCAGAATTATTCATTAATTCTTTTTTTTATTTTTTATTTATTCTCCCTGAAGCATAGGTATTTCGTACTGCAGTCTGCGGGGGACATCATGTGTAGGCGCATTCGTTTTAATAACATACGAGTGTACACGATTTATATTACACATGGTATATATACGATTACAATACCTATTAAACGTAATTTGTTCTACATAAAATTAGTGTATGTACGAACGCACGAGCGCAGTTTTGTTTAAACCTCAACGAATTTATAATTAATTTCAAAACACGAAAAATCAGTAGCGCCCTTCTCGAAATTTGATCACGCATGCTAACCAATTTCCAGATATTATATTTTAAATATTATAATATTATGCGATATTTTTGTTTGAAGTGTAAAGCCCGGTACTCGGGGTCAAATATTTTCATTATAAATATTTGACTCGGGTGCCTATATGAAATTTCGAATATTTGCGTGAAAAACGGTTCAAACCGTAAAAAATATTATACGACGTATATGTCAAAACATCCATAATTATTTAGAGCTCGTATGGCGATTATGGTCAAATTTAACAGCTGCTTGAATCGCCTCAATTTAAATCATCTAACCGAGTCTACACAAAATCAGTAGCAAAACGAACCAGGTTTTTTTTCATTTATTGTGAAAACAGCTGAGAAAATCGAATGATGTTCACTTTAAAGTACAACCCCAACCAGGTTTTCTTTCAGAAAATGTGCTATGGTTGTAAATCGGAGCAAAATTTCCAGTTATTTCCAAAGTTATACAGAACAAAAAATATGAATTTTATAAAACTAATACATTCCTCGATCCACTCACAATCTAAAATGTTTAAATTGTAATGATCAGAGTGCCATAGCCTGCAAAAGAGAGAGCCCAGAGATCATAACTTCTCTTAAATCACCGTAACGTTTATATTTTTTTATCATAACCATTTCATGGTTATGCTACTTTATTCTTTATGAAGTATGTTGTGTACCTAATTTTTAGATACTAAGGCGTTAGGAGGAATGTATTGGTTTTAATATGGTTGTATGTTTTTATAATATTTTTTAAAAATCAATACAATTTGCAGTACACGATTAACCGAATATTCACTTTGAATAGTTTTTCGTTTATACTTCATGATTTATTATCGTTGCGTAAATATTAATAAATTAAGTAAAAATTCGTAGATTAAATTTTTTTTATGTAATATTTATCTGATCTTCCCAACTTCCCATCAATAAACATAATCTATAATATATCCTACACGAGGAGTATATATCAAGTGCGATGTACAAACAACCCGAAAGGTTCTAAATCGAATTCTATTTCTAAATTTTGCCTACTACATAATCATCATAGTGATAATTGTTTTCCACTAATCTACTGATCGCAACCTGTTTAAGGGAAATGGATACGGCCATTAACGACCGCAAAATCAGATATAAATAGACAGAGATTGGGTTCGATTTTAGTTTTAAAAGCTGATTTTTAAAACTGGTGTCTGATGGGCTACGACTTTATAAGTGATTTTTAATACTTTTTAATATTTTATGTTTTATATTTTAAAATTAAAATCCGTCACATCCAAACTTTATACAGTTTCACACACGTTACAATGTCCTTACACAATATCAATTTAGGCAGGTATTATTGTTTTCTATGTACATCAATGTGGAATATCACGTTCGGCCGTTCGAAAAATATTTTAAAAGCATAGCGAGGCAGAACCGCTGTTGCCCCGGCAAAATCGAAATGCGTTTTCAAATATCGCCATAATTATCATATTTGTGTCCGACCAGAATACTTATCCTGTAAAATTGCCGCACGGAACTTTTCGAACACGCGTATATAACCGTCGCATGTTTCGAGCGAAAAAAACCACACATCATTATAAAATAACTATAAAATTATCATTATAATATATAGTTCTCCGCCGATCCGCCTCGGAATTCGAAAAAATAAAGACACTCTATACACATATATTACACATGCAGTCACTGTGGATTTTACACGTATCTTAAACATAATTATAATTATTAAACGCGGGGAAGAATTTACAATATTCGCACAGGAGTAGTTTGTTTATAATTATAATTAATGGCGACCGTCAAATTGTATACGCACGACAAAATCCTCTTATCCCCCCCCCTCATTTCCCGACTACTGCGTATGTTAGAGACATATTTGTTTAATTATAACACGAACACACGCGTTTTATACTATTTTACTTATAATAACGATCTAAGTGAACTACGAAAAAAAATGTTAATTATAAAAAAAAAAAAGGTTTGGATTATTAAAAAAACAAACGAAAAAATAATATTAATAAAATATGTACCAACGGGTCTAAATTCGATGTGTATACATTGTGAACAATAATGATTTTAAGCGTGAATATCTCGCAGACTCGAAATATTAAATTAAATAATATTTTTAATAATATTATTTTCATCTCGCATAAATAACAAAACCTATAAATTTCTTCGCTTAAAACTGTTACCGGAGTCCCATAAAAATGCACATAACACGAACGAAACGTAATATCTTAACAAGAATAATAATAATTGTAATTTATAACAAAGCATATTATTAACATTAATATCGGTTTATACACGCTTCTGTAGGTGCGCGACAAAGCAATGATTATTTTACTACGATTTAACTGTGATACAAAAACATGTTAGAAGCAATAGCGCAATAGACAATTGATACAGAGAGGAAAAACATTTAAAACATTCAAATGATAATCAAAAGAAAGGAAACACTACCAAGTTTAATCGTCCGAAAATATTGATCGAAATTAATGTATTATATGCACTACATTCAATGCAATTTGTCCAGATTACTAATTTATTTCATTTTGTGGCGAATAAAACATTTGAAAAATTAAAAAATAAAGTACATTACTTATTGTTTTTTTTTTTTCTTTGTACAAAGCTTTGGATTTTGACCAATATTTTCTAACGAACTTCCGAAAATGTATAACAACCCCGTGATGAATATTACTTCGGATAAGTTTTATGAACTTTACTTTTGACGTTGTGGTGTCAGTCACTGTAATAAAACATTTGAAAAATTAAAAAATAAAGTACAGTACTTATTGTTTTTTTTTTTTTTTAATCTAAAATCTCGATTGTCATGGCTATTTTGCACCGATAAACGGGTTCACGGGACGCAGCTGTAAATATTTCATTAATAATATTGATATGAAACCTGTATGAACCATTTGATGCAGAAAAGAACATTATAATACATATTTTAAACATTTTCGAGAAAGAAAAAATTATATCTCTGAAAGAACTCAAAAAACAAATTCTATATTAAATGTTTATGCCTAATGAGTAATTGTATAGTATTAGATACCGTCTATAAGTTTCTACTCTGATTTTATGTACTTTTATCTAGATACTTGAAACTTGATAATATCACTTATATTGGACTAACCTATTTTCCAAAATAATCGGACGACTTTTTTTCCTTTTTTAATTTTTTACAATGGTTAATGGTTTTTTTTTTATGCTGTAGATCACTTTTATCCTAGAACACTTGCTCCGATCTTTAAGTGTAGTACCTTTTCTGAAATTCAATTTTATCTACTTGGTAAAACGATTAACTGGAAAAAATTTACGATTTTTTTCACGATTTCGTTATTTTAAATAAGTACCTACTACGTACTATAACACAAATATTGCTCCAATCGAAACACGACTAGAGACCATATTTTTGTTTAATTTTTTTGTTTATAAGCGTTTTTAAATCAAAATTAAACGAAAATTGCGAACAAAAATACGGCACTTCAAATTATATATTATCGAATTGCGCTCGGATTGTCTTACGTCAGCAATGGTTTATCGTTGCTAAGAGATATAAATGAAATAACCTTATGTATCCTACCTTCCCAACTTCTCACCTACAACAGTGGTTGCAAAAGTCCAGTATCAAGATATCAGTATTTTAGTGTTTTTTCCCCTATGACAATGCAATATCTATTTTTAAAAAGTCTTACGTATGTGGAACAGTAATTTAATAGCTCCTAATGCAGATCTCGCTGATCGTGAGCCCATGACGACGACAATCGTGGTTCCCGTCACCTCTTATGACGGTTTAGGTGCGTATAAGGGCAAACGGATAATACGCATACTGCTACACACTGGTATAAATAAAAACACTTCCTAAAAGGCCTGGAAAACAAACAAAATTGAGTGATAAGCCGCTTTGAATCCGACTGCAAACAACCGGTGATGGCTGAGAGACGGTGGAGAGCGGTGGCTTGCCCTTTTGCCTGGCGGATTAGCGGCTCTCGGACCGATATTCTGTGTGTGTACTGTGTGTAAACACATTACATATACGTGTACGTTTTCATTTGGACGAAAACTCCTCAAAAATAAATGCGTATTATCGTACTTAAACTCGTATGTGTTTTTTTTCTTTCTGTATGTATAGGACGTCTGGCCGCGTATTTGTGTGTATTTGTCACCCGGTCAACGACTTTTTAAATCTTTTTTTTTTTTTTATTCGGGTAGTTTTTATTATTATTATTATTATTTTTGTTTTTTTCATTTCAAGTTGCCCGCCTTTTATTATACGTAAACTATGTATAGTAAGTTAATAAACTTTAATAAAAAAGAATCGAATATTTTATGACAATGACACCGTGATTTTTTAATTAGGTTTTCAAAATGCAACCTTGTAGGAAGAATGCGTCTACATCTATGCCGCACAAACGCGAAATTTTCAATCTCTATAATATTTGCCAATAATGTTTGCTGCGGTTTAAAATTAACTGTTCTTCTTTAAGTACTTCTCGATAAAAAGTAGATTATTATAATTCGTCTTTATTCTAAATCAATACAATACAAATTTAATGTCTCTTTTCCATAATAAAAAAAATCGTGTTTTAGAAACTCGCTGTAATATCGCCCGTGGTCACACGACAAAATTATAATTTGTCGGGTTCATAAATAACTGTACATCAAATCGTATTTAGAAATAGTTATTCTCGTACCAACCGCCATACATTTGACTCGATATGAAAATTGAATTACGGTTGTTTGGCAATAGTATTTTCCAACTAAGTTTAGATTCTGAGCAAAGTGAGCAGCGCAGGCCTATCCATGATGCGAAGTATTTTCGATTTTTTCGTTTCTTTTTTTTTTAATATTATTAGCTTAGTGATGGGTAATCCAAAAAACGTGCGTTTTAGTTTGTATTAAAATGGTGAAAAAGCTAAAAACACACACCTGCATATTTACAGCCGCAATTAATTTCATTAATAATTCTACCAACGTAAAAACTAGAAAAATGTTGGCATAAAAATCCCGAGTTTGCAGGTGGCACAGATTTACTCTTGGCAGGCCATTTGGATAGTATAATACACGTAGGTATATAATATGCGACAACCTTGACTGATAGGATTAAACGAGACACAGAGGTAGATTAAAACAATTTCTCGTTTTTTTTTTTTTTTATAAATATTATATTATATTTTAATATTACATCTATTCGTTTTAATTTTAAAGTTTTCAAATAAATAGTAAACACCTACCTACTATGAGAAAACGGTTTAATATAACTGAAATTTATACATTTTGAGAAGCAGGACTTTTAAATCGATCAATTACGAGACGATCGCTGTAATATCATACAACTTTATGAAACATCATTGTGTCTCGGAATGAAATTTGTCTCTGCAGCTGCCTACTAATCAGCTATCTGTTTGTTGTCTACCACACCCAGAAATAGTACATTTTTATTTATTCCGTCCGAACCTCTAGGATGTCTTCTTAGTTTGGTTATAGGTTTCCATCTCGTTTATTGCCTATGCTCAACACATATACATAGATCTATCCAGAGCCGGGTCTAGACAAAATTTATTCATAGGCAAAATCCAAATTTTCCGCCCTCTCGTTTTATATCTCTCTATTCACCAGTTAACCATATCATACAATAATAATGTTGTTTGAAAAAGTTAAAATTAATCGTTTAATTATTAAAGTTCAACTTAAGTGTATAATATCATGAAGACATATAACCCACGTATTATTTATAGACAGTGAACAGTGAATACTCGTTTATTATTAAAAATTATGAGATCGAATAACTTTAATAATAGACTTTCAACTTTTGAAAAAAATATTACCAACTAATAAGCACTACACACGCTAACATACCTAATGTAGCAATTATAAACCGCACAATTTATTAATATCCTATAACCATAAAGGTACAATTTTACGAAAATACACACACAATACGTGCTATACCGCGAGTACCCATCAGTTTTCGGCCTGTACAAAAATTGCACGGGGCAACGGCACTTTTGAACCGCGAATCCCCTTATTCTCTCCTCGTTCTACGCGTGAATTTCCCATCCTAGCTCCTTTCTTTTTATCTGGTTCACAACGTCTGCTCGTTGAAACAACTCGTTTAGCCCATTATAATTATATTAACAGTGCGATTATTTTCAATAGCACACCGATATACGTAGCAATTGATAATAATACGATGATTAAATAAAGTTAATAAGTATAGGTTAGGCGTATCCCGTATTATTTACACCAACTCGGCCGGCCACATTAAACGCCGAGAGTATTTCGTCAATTAAATTATCTCGGGGAACAGTCGAAAACCCATCGTCCCGAGGGTCTTTACACAAATAGAGAGCTCCGAACTGTGTGTGTGTGTGTGTGTGTGTGTATGTATATACACCGTGGAGTCAGTAGTACTATCATTACTTAACGACCTAGCAATTAATTGCTAGTTAGTATTTAGCGTGTATACAGTTGCACGGCCGACCGGCTATTTCCATCGTGAATGTACCTAGAGTACTTCGGCCGTACTTATACACGCTTAAACCACGATTCTGTGACGGCATAATAATATTATGATTTACAATAATAAGTATACGAATACGGGGTGATTAATCAATCATAAGACATTCATTATTTCGAAAAAATGTTTAATTTTTTTCGAAATTTTTTAAAGAACATTGAAAAAACAACAGCTGTTCTATAATTTAAAATTTTCATTTTTTTTTTTTTTTTTTTTTGTTACCCTAATTTTCGGGGGTGAAACGATTATTAAAAATGTCATAAATTGATGGAGTATTAGTTAAAATAATGCCATTTGAAAATCGAAAGTGTATAGTCATTTCACCCTTAAAAATTAGAGTGACGAAAAAACCGGAAATTTAAAATAAAAAAGCTATTTGTTTCTAAAACTTTCTAGAAAGCAAACGTCAAAAAAAGTTAATACTTTCCGAGATAATGAGTGTCTCATGTGAGATTGATCATTCTGTATACCGGGCGAAATGAACCATCGATGGCGACGGGGATTAGTCTGATTATCCACGAACTAAATGTAATTTGAAATTGTATTACGCGGCAATAATAATTTGGAAACTCGTAAACTTGCAGTGGCGTAGTTATGAGGGGATGGGAAGAATGAAAACTCTTTTAGAGCTGTTTTTAAAAGTTTTACAATGTATCTCGAAGTATATTATCTATTTGTAAATGTATTTGCAATAATAGTATTAATGGCGGTCACAAGTCGTTTACTCAAAAGTGATAGAACCATAACGAAGAAATTGATAAATAATCGAAAAAACATCAAATATTATAATTATTATAATTACTGGTTTTACGCATTTTTTTTTATTAATTATTGTATTTAAAAAATAAATCAAAATCAAAATAAAGTGCAATTACAGGGAAAAAATGTATATCTTTCGAGGTCTGATATGAAACAAATCGAATCATTTTTATTATATCCGAACAAGTGTTCTCAAAAAAAAAAAAAAAAAAAAAAACGAATAGCTTCTTCGCCTTTACTCAGAACGTAAAATATAAATCCGTTTGTGGCAGGAGTGACATATATATCGTTTCATATAATATTATACAAAATATGGTCCGCTGATTGTCCCCTTTGAGTTTGTACATTTTCATTTGCACCGCACTATATTGCGTACCTACGAGCGAGTACAACTACCCGATCACATAATACAATTTATTGTAATAGAACGATTAAATTCGATTATATTATTTCGGAAAAACTAATCAATTTATATACCTATATATAGTTTCTAAATAGATACAATATATTATCATATATCGATTCAAGTGCAGGATCCAAAGTGTCATTTCAATAAATTGATAACCCTCCAAAAAAAAAAAAAAAAAGTCTTCTCATACTGCTAATAGACCTGCCGCGATTTTAGAAAGAAAATTGGAATAGGTTAGATGATATAAAGAGTGACTCTTAAACTATAACACTCGGATACTCAAAATTGTCTACTGTACTGCATTTAAAAACGGCTACCGAAAGTTTGTTTATATTAGCATTTATACTATTTCTTGAAAATACAACCAATGCACATACTAGATTAAAAAAAAAAAAAAAATGTTTTTGATTGGAGCGAGATTCCTGGTAGAAAATTTGTTGACATTCAAAAAAAAAAAAACACACAAATCGTAATAATATTTTGTATGTATATCATTTAAATGGTTCTTATAATGATGTTGTTATCGAACGTAACGCGTCAATATTTACCGGAAAAATTAAACAACGAACAACGGTTCTTTGAAAGTTCAAACCTCGTGAAATTAGAATGTCTGTATACATTACAGAACATCTATAACCTTGACTCGTATTTTATGGTAAATATTAACTCATCGTTAACTCATAGCTGTAAGTACGTACACGAATATATAGTGCGGCGTACCTCTTTTTCATCTTTATATAATATTTAATATTTCAACTGCTTTTTATTTCGTTTTACGCATTAAAGTGTTAAAACTTTCTCTATATTTTCGTTTTAATATCAAAAGTTTATTGCTTCCAAACTATACAGACTGTGCGCGCGCGCGCGCCCGCACGCGTGTGTGTGTGTGTGTGTGTGTGTGTGTGTGTGTGTGTGTGTGTTTGTGTTTGTGTGAGTGTGTGTGTGTGTGTGTGAGTGTGTGTGTGTGTGTGTCTGTTCGTGTTCGTGTGTGTGTGGGTAACAGACCGCTTCAGATTTAATGAGCAAAGACAGCCAGCGGTAAACTATAAATTTAGTTTTTTTTTTTTTTACAATTTAACAAAACTTGAAATAAATTCTATATCCGATTCCTATCAATTAAATATCCAGCGCGGTGTAAAAGTTTAAAAGAAAACTTTCCGTCGCGAAAATAAAAGTATAGGTATATAGGTATAATAATTACAAAAATTAATTATTTATTATTTTTTCACTCTCGGGGTCCGCCGGCCGGTACAAAACCAAAGATTAAATTAGGTAAATCGTAAATTTCGTTATTTTTTATAAACTGTATTTTTATTATTATGTAATAAAAACGAACGAACGGTCAACTTTTATTATAAAATAATTGTTAAGTTTCTCGCTTTTACACATAAAATATAAATTGCATACCTTAACTCGGTACTATAATACCACAGATAAATATATACTAGCTTTTTTACCCGGTCTTGCCCGTGCCAATTTTTAATTTTTTTTACCCATATTTCTTTTTGGTATTGACCCTGTCAGTAATGAATGAAAACAAATAGGTGGGAAGTGGGACTAAAAGTATTCTGTTATAATATATATTTTTTAATTTTAATTTACTATTTGCCTTAAGAATTAAATATTTCAGGACCACGTTAAGTGTCTCACCTTCTGGGGCCAGCAAGAATAATTTTTTTTTGCGTGTGAGACGTGACAGATTCTCGTGGGAAAAACATGGAAAAAAATTGAAATGTTAGGTCTAAGCCAGCAACGTTTAATGCTTGATCTTATGCCTCATTGATGTTCATTGAAAAACACTGTTTAACGGGAAATTGGAGCCGTTAAAACTGGAATAGTAAATTGGTTAATAGCATTGATTAGACAGTTTCCTTAGCTTTACGGTCAGTAAGATTCATACACTCAAGCAGACAGTTTTTTAAAGATTTTATATGCAATCTTGTGCCGATATTAATTGCCATAGATACTATAAATACATTTTGACCAACCTTTAAAATGTTTGTCCATAGAGTATATAAAAACAACGTTTATAATATAATTTTTACTAAATATATTATTGAAAAAAATACAAATACAAATCAACAAACATACCCGATTAACCAATAGCAACCAGACATTAAACAAAAATATATTATTATTTAATGCCACTGTTATTTCATCATCACCACCATACATTCTTCTCGGAACCGCAACTTTATAGGATTACACTTATGCCTAAGAACATGCTCAACGAGTAATTTAAAAAAATATTAATGAAATTGGTAAATGCTCAAGTAATGCCATGACAAAGGAATAAGGTCCATTTATATACAGAGAGATATAAGCATGTCTTACAACCGATAAGAAATCGATAAAGTTCGATTTTATTTGAATTCATAATTTAACATTATGGGTGAGAGGGGCATAAATTTAAAAAGCAATTTAAAAATGTATTTTTATCGTTTGTGACTATTACTGCATAGGTTCATATCTTTATATTTATTAAAAAAATTACTTCAATTTAAAACACATATCGATAAAAGTATAATCGTTCTAGCGTTACTTGTATTGAAAGTTGTATGTGATATTATTATTTTAAAGCATAATATTAAATACACGCTAAGTACTTACAAATTTGATGTGTGAGATTATCTATAAGAAATGTGGAATTTACCAGTAAAATCTTTTCAGTGAATTTCGGTAAATTGGGTTGATTTTTCATTAGAAATAAAATAAACATTTAATGCACACATGTATCTTCTTCTTTTTCTTCTTCTGGTCTTAAATAAGGGGTCACTCTCAAAAGTTTTCAACACCATCACGATGTCCTTCCACTTTAGTCTGTCCTAAACTAACATTTTCCTTTCTGGAACTCTTAATATATTCAGATCTTCTTCTTTATTATCTAACCATTTCTTTCTCGATTTCCCATGAGGTCTCATTCCAGCACTGCCCTAAGTGTCTCCTCCTAATTTTTTCCTAATTAATGTCCTTTTATAACACTAATGACTGGTGAAGTGTTACTCGATTTTAAGAACGGTAAAAAAACGTATAAAATGTACGTGAAATTCGATATAATCGCGACAAAATGTTACAATCGGTTGTTTAATTTAAAGATACATTAGTTTTATAAAACAACTTTAATTATAATTATTATAACTAACTTATAATGACTTATAAGTAGTAAAAAAACGTTTAATGTAACTATAATATATGTATAAAACTGCTTGATAGATTGTACATAAAATGTTAACAATTAACTATTTATACTATTAACGCATTATATGTATGCTAATAATAATGGCCATGACCGCTCATTGCGGACTAAATGTATTTTATTTATTTGTTTACATTAAAAACAAAATAATATGGAATTTGTTTACGATGATTGCATTATTTTAATATTAAAACATTAAAGTTGCATGACAAGAAACTAAAAAAAAAAAAAAAACACAAGGTTTTAAGTACCTACATATAACCACTAAAAATTTTTAAATTTATTTTTGAATTATAATGTTCTTATAATATACATATTATTATAATAAAATTCAAAAAATTCTTAATTTTCGTTGTTTTAGTTAACACTAATATTACAAATTCTATATAGTGTCTATATTTAAAATAATCTTTAGGAATAGGTATAGTCATACAAAAAATAATTACGTTTGTTTAAAGTGGCATTTAATACAGGTATTATTGCATGAAATCGTACAAGAGGTAAATAACAGCACAAAGTGAACATTAAACCAAGTAGAAATTAAAATTAACTCGATTAATCATATTTCAAAGAGTATATTTTACTTAACGAATTAGTGGTTCGGTATACTTACGTCTTATTATATGCCTGGTTTAAAAACAATTAATATACGCCCAAAGGCCTCCCCACAAACGATTTTATTTCGAACTAAATGAATAATAATCAAATTCTAATTATTGACTGTATAGTTGTTGTAAAACAAATTAATTAATCAAACATTAAATAATATACTCATAAACTTCATTGTACTAAAATAATGTCAAATAAACAAAAAAAATCCCCAACCTTCAAATCATTCAATAAAATCGAACTACGTTCATAAACTCACAGATGTAAAATGTACAAATAAGAGCCGCATAAAGCAGAATGGAAACCAATCTTTCAATGGTTTTTCCGTCTCGTTACGGACTTTTGAAAGCATCTTATCTTTTAAGGCTTACGATATTTTCATAGCTATCAAGCTATCGATCTGTTGTACACAAAATGGCTAGAAAAAAAACGTTACAAAAAGGTCAAGTGGTCGTTTCACAAAAACAACGAACAATATTGTCGTGGGTTATTTTCAATATTTTGATTAAAACCAAAATAATATTATGGTTAACGTGCTACAAAAAACGAAAATGACTTTTTCGAGGTTTATTTAAATATAAATAATATTTTATACAATTATACAGGTACGTTTTCGGCTTGATTTAATCTCTTTTCATTCATCGAAAATATTAGGTGGGTATATGAAAGGTTTTTTTCTTCGCAATTCGGATTTTCAAAAATACTTATTTAAAGGAAAATGTAAACCCATAAATATATTTGCTTTCAAACGTCCTGTATTTAAGTGAACAAATAAATGCCGAGATATGTATATGTCGGTTAAATATTACTGCGCGCGTGTTCATTCATAGTGTGTGCACATAATATTATAATACCCAACCGTATAACATCAAAAATTATATCAATTTCCAATTAACAGACTGTATAAATATGAGTACTTGCGTAACTCTAAACTAACTATTTCGATTTTAATTTAATTTTTTTAATTTTAAATGCAATTTTACAATTTTTATCGCGAATTCCTAAAAATTTAAATCTAACTACAATAAAAACGCCAAGATGTAAAAATAATTTAAATTTTTAAAAAAAACTTTAACATATTTAATATAAAAAAGTTATTTTATTTATTAAAATATAATTCTATTATACTCTTTACAATATACCGGATGATTCTTTTATCGTTAAACACTCATTATCTCAGAAAGTATTTATTTTTTTTCGAAATATGTTTTATAGAAAATTTAACAAACAAGCAACTCTACAATTTTACGTTTACATCATTTTTATCACCCTATATTTGGAGTTGAAACGACTACCTACTTTTGATTTTAAAATAGCAACCTATATTAAAAATTCCATGCATAGATGGAGTATTAGTTAAAATAAATTTTACTCTAGGCACTCCAACTATTTATTTAAGACATTTTCAATGTTGCCATTTGAAAACTAAAAGTAGATTATCGTTCCCCCAAAAAAATATGATAAAAAAAAATAATGATGCAACATTTCAGGACTTTTTTTTTCTTAATAAGTTTAAAAAAAAAAAAAAAAAAAAACAAATACAGTCAATACTTTTCGAAATAATGAGTATTTAACCATAAAAGAATCACCCGGTAAATAGCGTATGTTACATAATATTATAATAGTAATTATTATTTTTTAGTTAACATAAACATAAACTAAAGCACTTAAAACTGCTTCTCGTACCTGCGTTGTTACATACAATGTAATTACTATAGTTCGTATACCTGTTTGTATGATTTATTTAATTACCTGCATAATAGTTGTTATTTTATTAATATATTTTAACTTACTATACACAATGCATATCAATTTTTATCCTTATATAATGAACATAGCGGTGTTTACAGTTTATAATATTTCGTACAGCAGGTGTACTTACGAGAACGCGGCTATTTTTATTTTAATGCTATAACATAATATCCGTAAAGTTGCTGAGTTTCGTTATCCATAATTAACACGGGTCTTTTTGTTTTTCGTTTTTTAATACATTAAATATTTAAATTTATTAGTGAATCTATTACGTAATAGTCAAGTTATTTAATATTTCAATATTAAACCTATATTATACCTAAATTACCAAATTAAAAAAAAAAAAAAAAAACGACGGATCGTATCCTTCATTTTACTCAAAATCTAAACAAAAAAACTTGTCCGTTATAATAATAATTTAAAACAAACCATTTTAATTATCTGAGTACTTATAATTAATTTTTTTTTTGTATACACTAACGAAAACCAACAACCCCCGGCATTAGATTGAAAGTGTAACGAGGATAGTGTATTAACATTATTATAATAATAACAATCAAAAAAAAAAAAAAAAAAAAAAAAAAAAAAATACAGAAAAACTCTTTATACATAGTATATTAAATAACATGTTTAAAAGTTACAATTTGTTATCGAAATCGGTCGGGTCGGGAAATTACCTTGATCAAAACCTCTATCTAAAACCTAAATAGTTTATATTAATACTGTTAGTGTTATCGATGGTATTATAAATTATAATATTATACACACAGTGTCGAAACAAACGATATCTCGTAATTTGAATTTTGTTTAGTCAGTTTATATAGGTATTTAAAATACAAATTGTACATGGTATCTGAATTGTTCTTATCATCAAATCCGTAACATATTTACGTTGTTTTTGTTAACAAAAACCACACATTTCGATCACAAATTATTTTTTCCATCATATTTGTTTACACATTTATTAGTCACACCGATTTAAAGATATTCAGTGTATTTCTGGAGAATTTGGGACATTTCCCTGTAAACAATGTTTATTCAACTATATTGTTACATATTAATTAATACACGACTAATTATTTGATGTTTAAAGGGAATTTTTTAAAAAATAGAATACATTATCAGATTACATGGATATTTTTCGGTTCCAATTGATTCAATTACTAAAATGTCTCATTTTCGATTCACAGATATTACTCAATTTACATTTGGATTTGATATAAATGTCGATTTAGTATTATTTTAGATTCTGATCGACGCGAGGAATGTATTGGTTTTACAATGGTGTATATTTTTTCTGTGAACAAATTTTCTACTAGAAATCTTGCTCTGATTTTCAAATCCAAAAACTCGAATTAGTTTAATTAAAAATGAATTATTTAATAATTATTTAATTATACGTAATTGTGGTTTAACTTTATTTTTTCTAAACAGCCATATGCATAGGGTAATATTTAAAGGGAGAGGGGGAGATGTAGTTTGTTTTTAATCCCTATTAGTATAATATTTCTATGAACAAATATAATAATATGTGAGAGAAAAACATTTGAAAGTCTGTCTCCATGATGTCGGGTTTCTTGAAAGTTTGTTTATGTTTAGTTAGTTCTCGGGCCTGCTGATCAATATTTCCTCAATATTGTCTCCCTTCAAAGTTTTTATTACTTTAACCACTTTATCTATCGCCAAATTCTTCCAATTTAGGCTACCTCCTAAAGCTTTTACCTTTAACCTTAGATATTTGGCTTTCCAAAAGTCCTTTAATTCTGTTCCAGTACTGCCCATAGTCATGTGAGTTTTGGTTTCTCCGTACATACTATATATTCACTGTACAGCACCTCAGAGTTTTCCTGGTTTTTTAATCTCTAAAAAATTATTTGCTCCAAACGTTATCAGTAACAATCTGGTTTTATTTCACTTCTACTCTTTAGTTATACTATCCTCCACCAATGATAATCCACAATATTTTACTCGATTAATTAATCAAATTCGTTAGGTTTTTGTTATTTTTTAATTTATTAGTCCCGATCAGCTGCTCAGCGATTATTATAAAAGATAAATATGTTCGATCAATTAGTCATTCTTTCGACCGATGTTCTAGTACCAAGATTAATTAATCAATTTATTATTAGAAGCCGTACAAAATAAAATTACAAACACATTTTTTTTGTGTGTGTGTGTATATATCATGTCTTACCATCATTGTCATGGCGCCTGACAAAAATATAAATACACGTCAAGTTAAATCTAAAAAGAAAAAAATTGTTAAAATCGAGTTATGTCTTTGGTCGTCATTGAACAGAGCAGTAACAATGAAATTGTTGATACGTATCCTAATGACATCATTGTTCTAAAATGTTGAATAAAAGAAAATATATCATCCATTTTGTGTAGGGGTAACCAGACGGAAACATTTAGTTTAGCGTCTGTTTGATATTATTTGTTGTCAAACAACAGTCTGTGAAGAAAGAGAGTCTTTCTCCGTGTATATAATATTATAATAATTATTTCGCGTTAGTCTCAAAAAAAAAAAAAAAAAATAAAAATAAAAAACAAACAAAAATATGTATAAACACGTTATACTCAAAGTTTCGTTATATATTACGCGATTTTACGGGTTCAGGCATATTATGTAGAACATATGTAGGTAATTATTTTTTCATTTGTGATTTGCACAAAAAACCTACAAAATATTTGCGTACTTATTACATGTATCGAAAGCATCTATGCATATCGTATGGACACAAACTGCTGGACATATTAGCATAATTTACAGTTATTATTATTGTTATTATCTAAACCGTTTTGCAAAATCGCACTTAATGTCGCTGACAAAGAGCTCCACAGGGAACGATATCTAAATTTAACACCGTATATTTTATTCTATTCTATCGGTGTGACTATCTATTTATCACTATGAAGGGGGTTGGATGGTACCATACATATTATATTAGTTATTGTGTACTGTACCGGGTGATACATTTAAGTGGGCACACTCATTATCTCGGAAAGTATTGACTTTTTCAGAAATTTGTTTTCTACAACCTTTAAGAAACATTATTAACATGCCACGCGCCGTACCACCACACAAATGATACTCCTCTACTCTCATCCAACTTATAATTAAAAGTGGAATATCTCGTCAACGACTTGACAGAAATCGAAAATTCCAACGCCGAAATTTATTTTGACTAACACTCTATCTATTTATGGACTTTTTATTATAGGTTGATATTTGAAAATCAAAAGTAGGTAGTAATTTACCTCCAGAAATTAACATAAATATAAAATTGTAGAGTTGTTTGTTTGTTTGTTTCTTAAATGTTCTAGAAAACAAATTCCGGAAAAAGTTAATACTTTCCGAGATAACGAATGCACCCATTTAAATGAATCACCTGGTATATAATATATTGGATACGCCACCGTGTTGTTTGGAGGAAAAGTTCCTCAAGTAAGATCGGTAAAGTAAATAATATTAAGTTTATACACTGAAAGCAATAATTATAGAAACCATTTTAAACAAAAAACACTCGTGAGTTTGATAAAGCACTATAAGGAGCTACAATAATTAAGTGACCAAAAGTAGCCGGAAAATTATATACTCGTATATATAACAGACACAAAAATACAGTACATTAGTCTCTATTCTTGTAGAAAATTAGATAAAAATGATTTTCAATATAGCTCTAGTTGGCATTAGTGGCTGGTTAAAGTAGTTTTTTATTCGTTTAACAGAAGACACCCCCTCCCCCAAAAAAGTAAAATACTTAAGTCCCTATAAGGCTCTAAGGCTTATTTTTCATTAAACGCGCCTAAATTAAAAATTTTTATTCCAATATCGCTGTAATATTATTTTGTTTAGGTTTTTTTTATAATATTTTTTTTTGAGAACCTTTGAAAACATATTTTTAATCAAAGTTCCACCGAACGAAAAATCTTCATCTTTTAGATGTGATGTAAACGTTTTGGAATATGGGTATATATTTTACTAAGCGAAAAAGTGTTTTTCTAAGAGAAAAAAAAATTCATCTTGGTAAAACTTATAAAGCGTTTTCGCAACACTTCAACAAAGACGTTTTTAGAAATCACCTGAACTGAACAGAAATATGCACCTGAGCATATTTCTCTGGAGATTTCCAAAATATTAGTTTTATTTGATATTTGACTTGACTACACCGTCGAATAATTTATGTCATCACTGTAATAATTTAATAACTGTTATTGTATATAATGGTTTTAGATTGGATGTTGTGGTGCGGACGGACCAAATGACTATTTATCCCTGAGAAGAGCATTGCCCTCCGAGTGCAGGGATACGGTGACCGGTAACGCGTTCTTCTACGGATGTGCCGACGAAGTGACTTGGTTTTTAGAAGAAAAATCCAAATGGATAACGAACATAGCCATATCGATTGCCGCTTTGGAGGTAACCGACAATACGATGATATTTTATTTTACGGGTAGATGAATAGTGTAAATATTTGACCTAAAACGATACAGTTTAACGCACGAAACACTGCATGCGTATAAGTCAACGGTGGGAAAGTCAATTGTTTTTACTAGTTTAAGTTAAAATATCATTAAACAAAATAATAATATAAATACATTTGATTAATCAAGTTAAATAACACATGCTCGAGAAAATGATAATTTAGTTAAGCTAAAAATTACGTTTTTAAAATAGCCGTTACTATTATAAACTCATAAATGTATATTCAAACTTAATAAATGTACGGGGCTCTTGTGATTATCCCTGTTTAGGCTATATCACGTGGTAATTAATCTCATTATATTTATTTAAATATACGTAATTTTATTTCGTCAAAAAATAAATGCAAAAACCATAGGTTATACAAATTAACTTACAACCTAACTTTTAACTTTTTAACAAATTAGTGCTCAGCTTTGTTTTATATGAACTATTTTTTTTTTTAAACGGTTAATATAGGAAATACATTTTTTTTGTTTTTGTTATCGCGGTCAAACTTTAATTGTTGTCTTTATAAGTAAATTAAAATAAATTGAATAGTAATCATTTGTACCGTGCCATAATGAATTAATAATTCAGTTATATGCTTATCAATATATATTTCAAAGAATGATAATATAATGACAAGTGGAAATTGTATAGGTACCTACATAATTGATATCATTTAATCCCTTCGTAATTACTGGAATGATCGATACAGAAATAATTAACGACTTGACATTATTATTGTTTTAATACAACTACCGAATAATTAAACTGTTTTAAGAGCCGATTGAATTGGAATAGGAGCCATTTTTCAAAAAAGTAATTCTATTATTTATAACAACCGTTGGAAAGATTAAAGTGGCCCTTTGATTCGCTCCTTTTATTTATCACACATTCCTAAATAATATAATATATTCACAATATTTAGTTTCATTAAACACATAGACGTAACTAAAATTCATCTTTAAATTAACAATTTACATTATTTTATAGACATTCGAGAATCTCTAAGTAGCTTGAAGAGTCTACACGAGAAACATTTACTATGCAAACGACATCTAAGTTAGAATAAAAAAGTATGTTCAATATTTAGTTCCCAACACGCCTATTTTATATTGTATATTTGTATGACACGATCGTATTGTTTTCGGAATGTTATTACCGGACACTGGAAAAATTCCTTCAATTTGTACGTGAATATTAAAATTGTTGTTTTTAGAAAACGTATCTCACGTGATTTTTTTTTTACAGCCCGATCGAAACGACCTATAGGTACCTACGACCTTAAGCCAAGACATTTACCACCCACGACCTTTCGGGTGGATACAAAAAAAAAAAAAAAAAACAGGACAAAAAGATAGTTCCCCTTGCTTTGTTCCCCGTTCGACAAACGCTCCCGACGTCGTTACGTCGCTACCACCGATGCGATTCACATATAATATACAAAAAGTATCAGCGACCGGGACCTTTTGTATACAACTTTCAATACTTGGGTCCACATTAAATGTGGCTCGCCACCGTCTATTGATCCAAACGTGATATATGTATGTATACGTGTATATGTGTTTGTGTGTGCGTGTGTGTGGGGGGGGGAAGGGGATTTTTGTGTGTAAGTACGACGAACGTGCAATAATCACTTCGGTAAAATGAATGTGTGTATGGGTGTGTGCGTTTTTTTAACGACACACGAGACCGACGATATAGTGTCGGTTCTTCGTATTGTCAGCGGATTTTTAATCGAAAAATGAGAAGAGTCTATATATACTTAAGGCGTCTATACGCGTACATATACTGAATTAAAAATATATGTCGTGTAGTGTGTGTGTGTGTGTGTGTGTGTGTGTATCGTCATCGTTATACGTAAACGCAGACGGGTAGAAGCGAATAAAACAGCGTAAAATATAATATATAAGAAACAATAAGAATGAAAACGGGAGAGACAAACATCAGCGACGTTGTGAAATCGTGACATTTAATTGGCTTGCTCGATATCCAAAAATGTCGAAAGGCTAGTCAATTAACGGTGACAATAATTAACACTGTCAAATGCTACACTAATAATATTGGTCGGTCGTTTTATTCTACAACGAAGATAATATTGTCCGAGAGCGAAAATCAGTGAATATTTCATGAACTCGGAAGAATGTAAAGTTTTTACGAAATTCGATGTATTAAACTCGTTTTGGTGTACACAATCTTTATGTATTTTTTATGTTTTTATTTTTTTTTTTTAGAAAATAATTTTTATTTATTTAGTACCTACTTACATGGAACAAACCACGAACATTTAATATTATCGTTATTTTCAGATCCTATCAATTTAGATTATTATTGGGTTAGCCAACGAAAGCCAATAGGTTTACGATGATATATATTTTATATATTATTTATTATTTCCGCCGCATATACCTGTATAGGTATAACATGAATATTTGAAAAGATGAAACATTTCGAAATACACTCTGTCCGTACGAAATTTCGGCCCGATGTACGACTTTCAAACTTTTTTTACTTAAACTTATTGGAATAAAATACTTTTTTTTTTAAAAAAAAAAAAAAACAATCAATATTACAGTTGACACATTTTACATATTATAATGGATTTCAATCATAATATATAGACCACGTATTCACTTTCGTTACTATCCTACTATCCAAATTAAGATTAAAGCTCATTTTCAAATACGCGCCTGTATTTTTAAATTAATTTATAACACAGTGTCTTTCTATTAGTATTCCAATAAAAAATGAATTTTTGTAACACTTTTTTTATTTATAATTGAAGCATTACACTCTCAGTATATAATTCACTATTATTTATTTATAGTTTTGAACTACATCAAAAAATAATCCTTTTTTTTTAGGATACTTAAAATTTTTAAATTTGTACCGTTGATTAAGAAATTTCATTATGTTGTACATTTGTACCATATTTTCAGTACAACGTAAATATTATGTGACACAAAATAAAAGCTGGTTAAATTTGAGTTGAAAATTATTGAAATATATTGATTATAATTTAAAATTAGGATGCAACATAAGTTATTAATTCCATAGTCCTGATATTATATGGACTGTGCTTAGAAATAGAAACACAGTAACAAGATTGTTAGAAAGAGAAAAGAGACTGGTGAGGAAAATACAGTGATTCTACGGCCAAATAAAAATGTATGTTACAATAAAATTGGGCCAATCCTGATAATAATAATTTATATAATATTTTCAGATTCTGAGTGGCGCGAAGAAACTTGGTTTTACAGATATATTTTTTTTATTTTTTTTTTTTTTTTGTGTGGACAACTTTTCTACCATTAATTTTGCTCCAACTTATAACGATAGCAATTTTTCTAAAAGTAAATTTTACTGGGGATGTACTTTAGGTAGGTCGTTTATCGATGTTCTTCGGAGTTTTCTTAACGAATGTGAAAAACCAAAAAAAATATTACGGCCTTCCTTTTTCCTGTGGACAATTTCGACTTACAACATGCAATAGTTTACCAATTTAATGGGAGCGTTTACTGTATTGAAAATATTTCAATTTAATCGTAAAAATGAACAATTATAAGAATTAATATTTAGTTGGGGTACTATGTATTTCGAGCTTTTGACGAAAACAAAACGGTGCTCATTTTCGAGTCGAAAAAAAAGTAAATTGTGTAGCATATCTTACACATAGTATAATGCGAAAAGTAGCGACTACTGTAGACAACTACTTATTTTTATTTTTTTTTTTTTTTGTTCTTGTTAATATACCGACATTACGTTAAAACTGGCGGTTTTCCCGTCGCGCTCAGAATCTAAAACTATCGTGGGAAATCGGCGAATTATTATTCGCTCGCAAACTCCAGAGTGCCTGTGACTACGCATTTACCCCGCCGTCGTCGCGACGTAAGTCCGCCGCGGGCCGCGGTCTGTCGAATTTTCCGAGCGTTTTTCGACTGCATTCGGAACGCGCGAAATTTATAGCCTTAAATAAAAACGTCTATACGGGGAGCGGAGAAAAAAATAAATATAAAAAAATAAAAATCTCTCATACATAATATTTTATACGCATACACTGCACTATATTATACTCTCCGCGCGCGCACCATCAACCCGGTTAAACTTAATAATTTATATCCATTTTATATAGGAAAGTATCGGAAAGAGCCGGGCGGACGCGGCAAGGTGCGTATAATATTTCATCACGACAACTGTAAATGTTTTTTCTCCCTCCGCCCCCCCCCCTCACCTCCCCGCCGCCCGCCGGCCGGGTCCCGCCGCAGTATACGCGTACGCGCGCGCCCACTTCTCTCGCATCGAATCCCCGTGACTGCGCGCGCGATAACCCCGGCGTGTACACGTTGCCGGGCCGGACGGGGTCTCCTTTTTATACGATTTATGTTTATAAAGTCGGAAAGGAAATTAATGTTATTAAAGAAACGGCGCGCGCGCGCGAGGCGGCGGCAAGGCGGCAGCTGGAGAATAAATTTGATACGCCGCCGCCGCCGGCCTGTATTATTATTATTGAGATGTTTTCCCGGCGAAATGTTTACGCGCGGCGCCCTCGACCGCCGTCGGCGCAGCGGCGGTTGTTTTTCTTTCCCCCCCCCCCCGTTCTTTTAACGTGGTAATTTCTCGCGGCCGAAAATCGTTCGCTCTTCGTTTTTCCTCCCGGTGACCGCTCCGCGGCGGACCGCGTTCCCGCCTGGCCGCCGCCGTCGGACGGTATCGCGCGCGCCACCCCGGGACAAGACGGCCGCACACCTCGACGCGCGGCCCTTTCGACCGCGTATTGGTGTCGGCGGAATAGCGAAAAACCGTCCCCGACCAATTAACGGCACACCGCCGCCGTCGCATTATCGACGGACGGCTAGAATTTAACAGCTTTTTAATTTTTTTTTTTTTTTTTTTTCACTAAGATAAATCAACATTTCCGTGTTTTCCGATACCGATTTATTGCTCTGTGATAAATATTATAATTAATAAATCAACAATATTCTGAAAATTTAAAATTTATTACTTGCCATTCACAGCAGTTTGAAATTATTCTCGTAGTATACCAGTGTTAAATAAAACGAAATTTAAGACGGCCTTATTTAGGTTTGCAACTGTTTTACATATTTCTGTTTATGGTTACCATTATTTTTTTTTTTTTTTAGTATAATGTAATACTGCTCTAAATCGAAATACGGCAGTGTTCCACTAAAATTTAAAACTAAAAACTTCCATAACTATAAATTCTTAGAAATGGAAGATATCCTAATACTGTGTTGCACATTATGTTTCAATAAAGCACATAAAACGAAAAAAAAACATACAAGTTTCATTGATAAAACTTAAAAATTTACCTCCTGGTAAATACTTTAAATTTAAAATTCATTTTTTTCAAAACACATTTCATGTCACGATGGTGGTCTTGTTCCAAGGGTGCGATTATCTATACTGAGTTATCGTTTTATTGTCGACTAGAACAAAGGTCGATTTCGCGCAATATCTCTGTGAGTTATTATACTGAACGTATTATTATTGCTGTTTTTTATTTTTCTTAATAATTCGTGGGCGTACGCGTGAAAAAAAAGGTGTTCATATTTCAGAACAATTTAGTAGAACGATAATAAACTTTAATTGAAAACGCAAGATCATCACGATGAAGATCATGTCATAACCTAAGTACTGTGAGATTCTACGTTTCGTTCTGTATTGTTCAACATAAAATTTATAATTCAATGTTTAAAAATCAGCTTTTTTTTTAACTGATTTAAAATAAAATAAAAAATGACTTCAGGAAACATATAATATGGGTTTTGTTTGCTTAACTTTACTTTCATGGCACATTTGAAATATGAATTAATATCTAATCCTAAAAGGCTCATTGAAAAATTATATTAAAAATTGGAAAATTTTTAGTTAACATATCATACGCAGAAAATTGTTCTGCTTTTTTCGTGTAAATAGTAAATAACTAATTTTTCGCAATTTGGCGACCTTACATCTTTTTCAAGCACACCTATGAATTATTATTACCCGCGAAATAATATTAATGTATTATCCCTATACGGTAAAATACCTAAACTTAAATTTTTCAGTAATCGATTTCGAGTCAAGTTCTTTTTTTTTTTTTAAGTTTTTCTTTTCACAGATAATAGATTTTCCACAAGTCTCTTTGATTATTCACTATATTGATCGAAAATCACAAATACCTATACACACACCTATACTAAGACGAAATTAATTTATATTTTCGTATAATAAACGAGTCCACCATAACTTAAAAACTTTCAAGGACATAGAAAATCGTTAATTTCTAAACGTCAAAACGTTATAAAATGTCTACACGTCAATTTTAAATCTAATATCATAAATAAATAACTTAAATTATCATAAAAAAATAAAAAAATATGGGTAATATAACACAATATATTCCCAGTTATATTTTAAAAACTTCATTTATGTATTACCTACTATATTACTGTATATAATGTATAGTAAACACCACTTTGGAAGAGGATTCAGAACAAGATAACGGGTGAGGAAGAGCGATTTTGAAAATGCATACGAGGCACACACATTTATGATGAGCTCGATGATGATTCAAGCTAAAAGTATATTAGAGAAAGTACGGGGACGGGAGGGGCATTGCTGTCGTCGTGCGTCGCCATCCCCCAGATCCGCCGCTACACCATTTAATAATTTTGATATCATTTTTTGTACATTTTAGTTATACTATTAACAGCATAAACGAAATGGTCCATTTCATTGACTAAATACAATATATTATTTTAATGAAAATCTCTCAGTTCTCATCAAACAATAGAAAATAATATATTATTATATATATTTGTATTTAGTTTTTTTTTTTTTTTTGAATTTGCTTATGCACATACTTCTTCAACCGATCATTTTTTTTTTTTTTATCAAACCGATAGCAATGCGAACTATTTTAATTGAAAATAAAAATTCTTTGCAAAAAAAATAAATTACAAATATTTATGATGTATATGTTCTAAAAATAACATTATTATTTGTATTGAGCTTTTTCTCCTTCGATCCAATTCGTGTTGATACTCGTATATATTTAATCGAAAAAAAAAACCGATTTATTCTTTTAATTTAAATCAATTTTCAGTTTTATTTAAATTAGTTTTCTCATACAAATTATAAACGAAGGCCAAGGGCGATATTATTATTTTTAAATATTTTCATTATTAGTATTTATTTATTTAATAAAAGAAATACCTACAAATTATAAACATAAAAAAAATACGCTTAATTAATATGAACGTTGCTTATTAATTTATTAATTAAAATAATTGAAAATATTTTTGAAAACCGCTAACTCTATTTCATTATCGAAAAATGAATATTCTATAATGTCAAGGAATATAGTGTTTAAATGCCGCTTAATTAGGTACGATTTGCTAAAAGTTAAAAATGAACGTAATAATAATGTACATTTTCATTTTATTATTTAGGTCAATACATTTTTAACGCTGTGGAAACCTCAAGCTCTATTTAAATAAATAAATCTACAATCTAAAAAGCTATGTAAAATGAGTAGGTTTGATAATTGACAAAAATAATAAATAACAACGAATCGTATTATTATATTTTGTTAGATCTTATTAGAACCTTATTTGATTAGAGAGGTAACCATAAAAAATTATTTTTTTTAATAACGTCTACAAATTATAGAAACTAAACTTTACGTTACATGATTAGTAAATATTTATAAGACCAACATTTGGTTTTAAAATATGTTTAAAAAAGGATATAAAATACAAAAAAAAAAGAACTTATAATGCAAGATCTAAGTATTTATGACAAAAAAAAAAAAAATTAAATATTGAACAGAAACAAAGTTGTGTTTGTCGAATCTTCGTGAGATACTTTTTATTACGCACAGCTTATTGTGTTTTCCATTAAATACAACTTATTATGAACCTTTTATTGTCTTCTAAAGATTACTTAAACAGATAAAAAATGTCATCCACATACCTACGACTAAATAAAAACTAAAAAACTCGAGTATTTCAAGTGGCTATAATTAGTTCGAAAATTCGATAGATTGTACAACATCTATTATCGACTAATATAAGTATTCCGGTAATAATTCCAGGTCATTGCAATTATTTTAAACTGAATACCAACAACAAGAACAAGAACAATATTTAAAAAACAACAGTATCCGTTGTTCGAAAATATTCATTTCATTTTTTCCTGATCATTAAGGAAATTAAAATTAATATCAAAACATTACACCTCATCAATGCACCGAACAGATATAATTTAGTATTAAAAACCATCTCCGAGGTTAATGACTCGAGCAAGATTACCAGTAGAATAGTTGTTTACGGGAAAAATATATTTATTTATTTAAGTGCACACCCTGTAGTAAAACTAAAATATTATTTGTATATTCATAATTTTAAGTTATTCGCTCATTCCCAATTTCTTCGCATTTTGAAACGTTACATAAACTCATTAGGTTTTATATTTTACTTTTTGCTTGTCTCCATTTTAATAATCTACATGTAATTATCGAAACTTAATATTAAACTCGCAAGTCACGAACCAAATACAAAATATTTACCTACTTTAAAACTATACTTATTCTAACTTATTATTGGCATGATTGACAAAAATTGACTGCTGTTTTTTATTTTAAACATTTTATATTATTTTCGATATCTTTAATTGAATTCCTTAAAATTCAATGCTCTATCAATTGATATTATGTAACATTTGTATGTTTTCTAATAGATTCTGTGTATAATAGCTATTAGTTTTACTAAGATGTATATTATATTTTCTCGGAAATCACTTTTTCGGTTATTAAAAATTATGTGACTTTTTCATATGGCACCTTAAAAGATATTTTATTTGAAAAAAAATGTCTTAGTTCCTAACAGCTTCTCTAAAAAATTATTAAAAACTGACAATAAATGTTGATAATTTTGTTACATTTTCACCGATTTATAGGTTACTTTAGCTACTATAGGGATAAAACATATTAAGTAATTAAAACAGTCGTTTTTTTTTATTGAAATGATTTATTGTTGCTTTCAGTAGACACAAGAATATTTAATTATCCCGTATAGTGTTTATCCTATGTCATCTAAACTTTCTATCAATTACAACGACAATGACGCGATCAAAATGCATCCGGATTTTTCGATTTTCGTGATCATTGTAAATTATTAGTTAAGGATTGAATTAAATTTGAAAATTGATCAATTTAAATTGTACTACCCATTAAAACCATGTAAAAACGCGTCAACATCCAAACATTTCAGATCAATTACATTAATAATATTCGGGGGTATGAAAATGTAAAAATAAACTTCTGTTATCGCGTTTTTAGAACCACGCCCGTTGTCTATTATCCGCTTCTCCAGTAATAAAAACAAATATTTCATTCATCAAACAGACAGCTCGCTAAAGGTAAAACACTAATAATTACTACGTATAGGTATGCTAGAGTATATACAACCTTGACTATACGTCAATGTTTATGTAGGTAACTATATGAAAGATATCATACAGATAAAAATATCATATATTTTTTATAATAAGTTTAATGCATTTTTTTTTTTTATATGCCATTTATACAGTTCTAAATAATAAAAAAACATCAGGTTTATTTGTACCAACGTTGAACGTCGTCGTCATTGGTTCTATTATTCTCAAATGACTTCCTAACCTTTCTTTAGTCTTGAATCTTGATTTGGCTATTATGTGGTTTGTCAATTATCGGAATATGATTCCACACAATATACATCCGTACAATGGTTTATTTAATTTTTTTTTTGTATGGCTTATCAGATAATTTGATCAAAAAATATCATTAAAAATAATTAACTTATTATTTTATTTAACACGATGGTATTGCAAAGTATGCTTTATACCATAGCTATATGATTATAGAATTGGTGAGAGTTGACGAGGCAGAATTTAGGGTAATTTAATACAAACGATAACCTATTCTGAGAGGAATTCGGTTAATTAGCCACTTAGGTTAGCTGATGATTTAAGTCATTAAAAACCTTTAAAAAATGTTAATAATTGCAAAAGTCATGTATGGATAAAAATGTACCTAAATATAAAACTGATGGTTGAGTTGAAGACGGAGGAGGAGAAGAAACAGAAAACCTGATTTGGAGAGTTTACAAAAGTATTTAAAAAAAAGTAGAAGTAATCTGGCGGAAAATCCCATATCTTTTAAGGTATATCATGTGAAAGATTTGGATGATTTTACTATATGATGCTATTCAGTCTAGCTTTCATTAAAGCCCAGTCCAGCTTTCACTTAAATAGAGTAGTTTTAGTCTAATAAAACTTCTATGTAGATTTAATACGACGAGTTTTAAAATAAAAATTAGAAATTTACAATAGAATAGTCTCGAGTACACAAATGTATACACAAATTATCGGTTCGGTTTAAATTACCTCGACATCATGGGTGGTAGGTACCCGTGTAAAAAACCTCGGGAAGATCGAGTCATTATTTACAATATAAATTCGAAAACAGTACTAATTAAAATGTAGCGTAGATACTTATTTATATAACTGTATAAAAGATTAAATATTTCGATTGTTTATTTTAAGTTATCATCAGGTTTTTATAAATATACAGCACAAAAACTTCTTTTTTTTTAATTTTTAAATAACTATAACTTTTTGAATCTGTTATAAATGAAAAAACACATATAAGATTTCTTCCAAAATATTGTTCTCTGTAAATTTCTTAGGTACTTTTACTCTAAAATCAATACTAAGCTAGTTTTAAGCTAGGCTGTATAAGCAATGTTTTTGCATGCTACCTAATGGTTTGACTGAAACAGTGGATGGGAATGTGGCGTCCTCTTAATATGTTTTATTTTGTTTTTTGTTTTTTTTTATGTATTTATACTTGCATTATGAAATATAAAATTATTATTTAATATTTACTCCGGTAAATACACCGCGTAAGTATAATTTTGGTTATACCAACAACAAAATATTATTGTACAAGTACTCGTACGTCCGTAAAAAATAATTTCGAGAGTAACAAATGAAATATTTTATGTTAATAAAAAAAAAAAAAATGTAATTATAATTATGTCATTCGTAAAAACAAATTATTATTTATAAAAAGGTTGTACAATTCACGAGGTGGAATGTGAAATTATATTATACACACAATGTTCATACAATTTGAATGTAGTTTAAACAATACTACCTGACCCGGTAATGCTTTACTATTCATTACTATGCTAGATAATATTAAAAATAATAATTATAATATTAGTTTTTTTATCCACGACAACCGAATTGTCATTGTCATCCATGTCACCAAGGTAACCCATGCATAAACAAAAACAAATAAATAAATAATTATTGTTGTATTTTCATAGGGATCTCTAATTTTGTTGGAAACATATACATCTCATGTTACTCGTTAATAATGTAGCGTTTTGTAGATGAAAAAAATTTGAAATCGGCTAAGTCGTTTTTGAGCTTATTAATTACAAATATACAAAAAATCATTTTTTCTTTGTAATATTAGTATACAATATTGAAGTTTGTTTTTCCGTAAACGCATAGATGAATTTTTAATAATCGAATTTGACTACAAAATATAAGATCACTTAATTTATACAAACCTGGACATACTTCGCTCTATTTGTAGGTGGAAAATAGTTGAGGCATAAATTATACAGGGTAATTTAGTTTTTATAATGTACTGAAAATTATAGAAATGGAAAAAAACCTATTCTGAATTGAGCTCGATAAACTGCAGGAACAAGGTTTATAATCGTGGTTTGAGGACTGTGTAATAAATAAGATAACCCAGAAATCAAAAGAAAATATGTACCGTCAGTTTGTTTTTCGGTATTTTTCAATGTTTTAGAAAAACTATTATGATGGAAAATTGTTCCAAATAAATAAAAGGGTAAAGATGTAATAGAATAGAAGAAAATTAGTGGCACATATAGTCTATAGATTCCACATGAGTATGAATTCACATCCTCAATTTTTTTTTTTTTTTTTTTATTGAAATTGCGCCCCTAGTAAAATGCCAATATTTGCCAGATTAGTTTAAAAATGGTTTATGCCTTTATGATATACGGCACCGCCATATTTCCGTTAAATGGTGATTGTAATGGTGAAAGTAACATCGAAATTCAAAACATCCATTACAGTATACACTATACACCCATAAGTCGAACGAAATATATATTAAATTCGATATTCATACTTTTATTGACCAACGAACGAATGTTGAATTTTATTTATTTTTTTATGCGTTTCGACCGTACCGTGTGTTTAATGATTGATGATTGATGGTGGACTCGAAATTGAATATCATTAAACACAAAATACAAGCGAGTGTAAAAAAAAAATAAACAAAACAAAACAAGATGGACCTACTTCGCATGGTGGTTGGGCCACTGGTAAAAAATTGGGAAGGTAGTCATACAGAGGGATACAAAAAATAAACCAATAAAGCGATGGGCTAACAAAAAACGATTTAGAGCGAAATTTCTTTTATACACTTACGTATATTTTCTCGTTATTCTTATGTTTTTTTCCAATTATTATGAAAACCGCTTGGAATTTCCAAAAAAAAGACTTCTCTAAAGTACCAGCTGGGTACAAATTCTTTTTAGAAAATGCGCTACACTTGAAGAGATTTCTAGTAAAAATTTGCTCAAAGAGTGAAAAAAAAAAAATTAATAATAACGATAAATATCATTGTAAAACTAATGAATTCCTCGCTAAGCTCCGAATCTAAAATGGTTAAAAATTATTGTAAAGAAAAACCGCAGCGGCATAAAGATCGGTATAATTATTCGATATTACTCGTTTAGGTTTGTAATTAGCAAACCGGATAATACGATTCATGTATCAGCCCGCCGGATTTTAGCATTTTAAACGGCCCGAAATTACATGAAATATTGCAACAAATCGACATGAGTATGATTAAAAACGAGTATGATATTGCATGTCCCGTCTAGGTTTTCTGCGTAGTTCGTCCCGTTCAACCGGAGCCTACCCGTTAGACTCGAGCACCGAGTTTATCCGATTCCGCGTGATATTTTATAACCATCAAATACATTAATTATAAAATAACTCGGAACCTCGATGGTTTAATATTATACAATGTTAATTTTGATGGGATATTATTACAAACACGTAGCTGCGCGGTTTTAGGCGTTGACAGCCGATTAGTGTTTATATTTTTACACGTAAATTTATTTACAACAAAAAATTAATACAAAAACTTTTAAGAACGATATATTATATTATATTTTTTAAATTTTATCTTAAATCACTAACGTGACTTACGTAACACTAACGTGGATTTATTTTTTCAGATGTTCATATCCGTCTTGAGTGTGATTTTAGTCAAGGCTTTGCAAAAAGAAGAAAAATTCAACTACAACCGATAAGCGAAACAATCAAAAAACAATGATTTATAGATTGTATAGCTGCTATTTTTTTATTTTTTTCCAACAAAATATTATTTCTATTTTCGTAGTATAATACTGCGTGCGAATTGTGCTAAAAACTATATTATCTATATTCATACATATTAAATATAATAAAATTGAAATATAACTTCGTATATAATATTATGTACTTTTTGCGGTACATATTAAAGGAAAATGATCATGGAATTTACCTTTATACCGAAAGTTTATTTTGTAGGAGAACACAAATTGTTTTGTAATTTGCACGATATCGTATTTTTGAGCCCACCTCCAGTTTTTTCGATATACATAACCACTAAACCTATCGCAATAAATTTAAAATGGATATTTTTCTGACGGTACGGTAAGTATAATATAATAATAGTTCACGCTCTTCTCAGGCATAGTGGAGTATACATTGGAGTAAGCGTACTGGTGAGGTTACAAACATAATAAAATATCATACAATTTCCTCACTTTTTCAAAATACCTTGTCAAATTTTTTTTTAAATTTATATTTTTCTTCACTTTCGCCTTTACCCGGCACGGATGGGATCAGTTAAACTTTCATTTTTGCCCTCTGCACTAACTGGTTTTCATTGTCTACATTATGCCCTCGAGTCTACTCGAATAACCTCGAATAGTTATTTTAGTTCTTTGATCTACCTACTTCCCGTCATCCATTTATATTTATTTCGTCTAACCTCTTGATTACCTGATCGTTTTTATTTCTCATACCTTCTACATCACCTAAATAAGTTCGTGGTTGGCTATTTCAAATTTATTTTAGATAATAACAAATCAAATATATGATGGAATTGACCCCGTGAGTCTGAAGTTATCAGAAGTCTAATACAATCGTACCCCTAACCAAAAGCTCGCACTTTCGTTATAACGCTATACAATACATTATGCTCACGAAATTATCCTTTGATATTTCCATTTTTTTTTTTTTTTCGATTTCTTTCGGAATAATATCGAAATTCCATCTCTAGTATATACGCAATATTTGTCATCGACAAGGAAAAATGGGAAGGAGGATAGGGACACTGTTCGAACACGTCCGGATATTTAAGTCCCAGGCATACACCGTCCGGATTCCGTGTGCATTACCCGAGAAACGTGGTAGAATACATTGAGGCTGTGGCGTATAGTATGCGGCAAAAACGTTAGATTTCCGCATGATCTAACGTGTCGCGTGTGGAAAAACCAATATCATTCACGGGCATTCGAAAGAACAATACTAATTTCCGATCCGACGTTGTTGCGTGTTTGTTTGTTTTTTTTTTTTTTTTTTTTGTGTCGCCGAGAATTCCTTGCGGGCGCCCTTGCGGAAAACGACAAAATACGGCGGCGGTGACGTCTTTTCCACGACGACGACGAGTGGTCCGGCGCGTAGTGTTTATTTTTCCGGCGCGCGGTCGACGTAAATATTATTATCATTTCCACCGGGGCTTAGCGACGCCGCATTATTATTCCGTAATAATGTCAAATAATGTATGTGCAGTTGTTATTGTGTGTACGTTAACCGCGGTACACAAACTATTAAACGCGCCCAACCAAATATTATCACAAGAACCTTAAAGCTACCGCGAAACGCGCCGCGCTCGCGTACCGAAATTTCTTCCTTAATCTTTAAAAAGGAAAACACGCAGGCGGCGGGTTTATAGTTTATATAGTTTATAGCCGATGCTGTTGACGCGTCCGCGGTCCTCGTCATCGATGGGCCGCCATACATTTCGACCCTGATTTGCATAAAAAAACATTTTTTTTTTTTTTTTTTATGTTTTCGCTGGCTGCACCGGAAAAAGATTTTCTATGGTTATTATATATTTTTTTCTTCTTCTTCTTCTTCTCCCCTCCCCCCCCCAATTCACCAAATATACACACACTCATACACACATACGCGCGGAAAAAGATATTGGGCGGAAAAACAATATCGAAATTAAAAACTAGTAAAACTGTACACCATAAATCTAATAGTTTTCATATAAATTTATTTTCCGGTTTTCCAAATTATTATTTAAAAACTACTTGGAAAATTAAAAAACTGAACTCCTCGTATATATTTTAGATTCAAAATTCTAGGGAAAACCTTTGTTGTCGTTTTGCGATTAGCGTGCACTTCTTGTATAAAATTTGTACAAAGACAGATAAAACCAGTACGCTTACTGTGCTCAGAATCTAAATCTATTTGTTTTGATATTTTACGAATAAAACTGATGAAACCAAAGTTTTGACAAAAAAAAACCTATTCTTTTAGCCACACATTGAGTAACATCCTGTAGAGTTGGCCATTATTTTCTAGAACACCCTATAATATATTTTATGAAAATATTAAGCCGAGCAAAATATAGTTAATATTCAATTTTCGTTAAAACAATATCGTAGAATATTATTAAATACACATTATATATATATATATTATATATTTATAAATAGGGTGATCAATCTATCATAAGACACACATTATCTCGAAAAGTATTAACTTTTTCCAGAATTTATTTTCCAGAAAATTTAAAATACAAGCCGATCTACAAGTTTATATCTCTGGTATTTTTTGTCGCTCTTATTTTTAGAGGCAAAACCACTACCTACTTTTGATTTTCAAAAGGCAACCTCTATCAAAAATTCAATTAGTAGAAGAAGTATTAATTAAAATAAATTCAGATGTTGTAAACTTTTGATTTCCATCAATCCGTTGACGAGACATTCCACTTTTAATTTTGGGTTGAGAAAGAGTGGTGATGCATTATAAACACGGTGCGCGCTGTACGGCTACACAAATGGTACTCAACTACTCTCCTATAACCCAAACATAAAAGTATAAATATCTCGTCAATAGACTGACGGGATTCTAAAATGTCAACACCAAAATGTATGTAAACTAATATTTCGTCTATTTATAGAATTTTTACTATAGGTTGCTATTTAATAATCAAAAGTAGGACGTGGTTTTACCACAAAAATTAAGGGTGAAAAAATAAAAACATAAATATGAAATTGTAGAACAGCTTTTTTTTAATATCCTAGAAAACAAATACCGGAAAAAGTAAATACTTTCCGAGATAACGAGTGTCTTATGATATATTGATCACTCTGTATATATACGTTTGGATATTATATTAGTATCAGTAGTACTACTATTAAAAATATGCATACAATGTCGAATTTATTGATTTTATCTCCGAATATCTATTTATTAAAAAAAAAATAATAATATATTTATGTATTTTATCAGAATAATTTCAGACGTTTTAATATCGCGATTTATAATTATTTTTGTGCCGTATACATTGTATTATTACAGTTATTATAGTTAATAATATAGTTCGAATTAGATTATTTAATTATATTCGATATGAGCCCGAGAAATAGAAATTATACTTTCCGATTCGAATAAAATCGTTGTAGGACAGATATATGAGGAATCGATGATGTATCATATATTTCAGTAAGCTTTTGTTAAAAATAATATTGCGTGTAACAAAAATAACCCATAGCTAATTCGTGTTCCTGTATACCTAGACATAATATTATTAAAATATAGTGTATCTATAGCTCGAAAATTGAAGGTCATGCGTACAGTTTACACCAAAAATATAAAAAATAAAAGTGTACAATAATGAATTAAAAACAAAAAACCAGTGACCAGAGGTTTTTATAATTTTATACGCGAACGAGAGGCATTTCGGTTGATTTTGTGGGGACGCGATGCGACATTGTACACGACGTTAACGCGTTACTACGAAATGTGTTTACTGATTTGAATAATATTATACTGCGTATAAAGTTTCTATCGTATTAGATCCGCCGGATGTTCGATTTCACGCATTCGTCGTCCTCGAGTCAAAAGATACAATAGGTATGGTGTCGGTACACGAGTAGGGAGTCCGAAGAGCATTGCTCCCGTCATTCGCATACGGTTATAGTTTCGAACGGCGACGAGGAAAACCCGGTCGTTTAGTCGTTTTAAAAAAATAACAGATATAAAAGCAGCAAATTCAATTTGACAACAACTGAACAATTTTATTTTATTTTTTTTTTTTTCTAGCACGTGACAATTTTGATAAAGTAGTCCGTAGTCTTGTTATTATTGATTGAGAGTTGACAGAAAAAAAGTCCTCGTATATGCTATTCGCCGAACAATTATAATATATTCGTTGTACATGTACCCTAAAAGAGCTTCTAGCTGCTCGCAGCTCAATATAAAATTTTCAATTTATAATAATTCGGAAAATCCAACTTGGTAAAAAACAAAAAACCGCGGTTCGTTCGTATTTGTTATGATGATTTGTATAGTATGTGTGTACCTATTTATAACAATTTAATATATTTAACAAATTAAAAATTAAATTTTCGGCCGATTTTAAAAGGAAATAACTGAAATTAACCGTAAAACGAATGTTTCGGGAATTATTGAAAATGCAGCAAACAAAACGAAAAATATATGAATGCTTTGGAAAGGATGTCTGATTCATAAAAATCATCAGATTGGTAGTTACATTCGTCCTACATAATACAGAAAACAAATCTACTCTTATTGCCACGGAACTGATTTTATAGCATTATTTTATTAGTTATTAATTGATGCATAATATTATAAAAAAATAGCCTGACTGAAATGTGCATTGTCAATATTAGAGCCTTTTTTTTTTTTTGAAAAATATGCATATTATAATGACGATGTTTAATTTTGTGGTTTTTATAAATCTCGTTTAATTAGAATAAAAAATTATTGAAAAAAATTCTGAATTATGTGAATTAAAATATTATATACCCACGTTTCCATTAGTTATTAAATAATATTATCTCAAATTATCATATGGTCCATACGACTGATAAGTCGGCATAGTACCCCGATAAATTGAATGCATAATTTAACAGAAAATAATAAGCAAAAACCTATTTTCAATGATTTCAGAATATGTTATTGCGCACATTTCAGTGTACTTTTTAGTGCCATAAAACTCGATTCTTGCTTGTTGCAATCCGATAGTTAATTTTTTCGGATGTTTATCACCAGATACTGCGAACGTTTATTTGAAAACGATAAATACGTTTATGGTTGTTAACCGAGTTATCTGCAATAACTAAATAAATTATTATGAATGCGCGTGACTGTTTTCAATGAACGTGTATTTACATAAAATTTAGATGTATAATCTGTATATATATATCGAATTTCAAGCAATTTGTTTTTTCTCTTTTCCGTAAAAATCATGTTTAAATGTAAACTATCGATTAAAACACTTTAATAAAATATATCCGAAAATTACTGATATGATAATTTCAGCAATAATTATTCTTGATTTATTTTATGGGTATATAAAGTATAATATAGTATAGGTGTAGTTTAATATTGCAACCTTTTCCATTTTTGATGTACACATTGAAAATAGATATATATATATATTTATTTTTATTTTTTTTTTTTTTTGACCGATCAATAAAACAATACAAAAGCGCATATAACCCTATATCAACCCTACCCGTCGTCGGTATAAACTAATTAATTTAACAGAAACTATCAAACGTTATTGAACTATGCATTTTATGAAACCTTTAATATTATATTATTGTGTATAGTATTTAATAATAATTTTACGGACGGTAATAAATATATTGAATTAAAAAAAAAAAAATGATCAACCGTGTACAATGAACAGACAATTCTTGTAGTTTGAGAGTTTTATTCAAATTCGTTTTAAGTGAAAATAATGTATACTTACGATTATCTTATTTCAATATCCTTGAAAATGTATACAATTAATACTTAATGAAATGCATAACTACAGGACTGTAAATAATTCATTAATTTCATACTGTTATAATAAATTGTATACCGATTCATAAATTCGAAAAACATAATAAGTACTACCGTTATTGGTTTCCAACACTTACCTTTGGTATGTCTTTAAAAGTCCAATTTACTAAACAGCATTTGATTGTTATGAATACGATTTTCATTTATTTGATAACACCATTAATAGATACTTCTTATATGATTATGCGTTAAACAATTTTCTTTAAGATTTATTAAAATTATTTATCTAAAAACAACGGAAAAAAAATACGCTTTACTGAAGTAAAAAATATCAACAATTGTGCTGTGGCCGTATAATATAACTAAAATAAAGAATATCATAGTCAGCACATTTAGATAAAACGAATGTCATCTACCCTATGATTAATCAATCAACGCTAATTTTCAACTTGTATCTCCGATCATTAATTTCAAGGGTGGAGTGTAACAAACAAATTTGTCTAGTTGTTGAATCGGGGAAATAATTTTTTGATTGTTCTCGAAGTTTTTTTTAATAATGGGGAAAAAAACTAATAAATTTGCCCCAATACCGTTATTTTTGATTTTGTCTCTTTTAAAAATAATCATAAAGACCACCTGAAACTCTCGCAGAAGACTATTATTATAATATTAGACTTTTCTTGACGTAATAAAGATTTCAGAACATTCTGGCAATAACGCATAGACCCTGACCGCTGATGTAGTACGGTTTGAAACCTACCAATTATTATGATGTTTTCATGATTATTATGATGATCAGCGAGTGTATGATTTTTGTCTGCCAAACAGTATGCATTTAATTGCCATTTTAATTATGGCTGGCGCTCGATCAATCGACACAAATAATTTGACTGGTCCAAATTTGGTCAACTGACTGGTTCGGCCGGCATTACTCGCGTAAAAAGAAATAATTGGATAAATGACCAGTATGTGTTAAATTTTGGCGATAAAATAATGCTAATTACTAACGAACAATAATAAACTAAGCAACTGGTTTGTATGGAAACTTCTGTTCGTTATGCGTATTTTCGTGCCAACTATTATCATCATTACATTGATATTTATTTTTTTGTTGAGCTGTATCACCGATGTTACCCGTATATCAACAAAAATAATTCAATTTTCGTTCTAAAAATGCCGATAACCATGTGTCATATCACCTTTAGGGCTTTAAGACGGGGTGAAGCAGCCTATATATCATTCCATGTCCAGAACTATATTTATGTAAAGTTTCAGCTCAACCCGTAGTTTATGCAAGAAGTGGTAACAAATACACATTTGTAGAATGCACATTCAAACGATCTTTCGCATTTTATTATTATTAGTAAGATTAACCACAAATTTTAATTTTAGTTATTAACTGTCATGTCATTCACTGTAGTGCTACACTAATAATTTATTAAACACACAGTTTACTTTTTTAGTATTTTCTGATTTGTAACATTTAATAAAATATATATAAAATGTATATTTCTACAATTTTTTGAAATTTGTTCAATAACTCCAAAAAATTCTAATAAAAATCAACAATCGTAAAATGTACTTAAGATTTAAGAATATATTATTAGTTTTATAAGAATTTTCGTCAATTTACCGTATACTGGACCGTGGTCAATTGACTTAAACTAATTTGACTGGTCAAAGGCCTAGGCCTAATTTTAGTCAAACGGCCCTGGTGCGAAAACTCCCAAGGGAATGAAAACATGCTTTATACATGAGCCATACTCGTTTTCATTATTGTTTTATATACCAATCATAATACACGAGTATATGAGAGTATCTATTATACTACGTGTCGTTAACGAAACGACCAGGTACCTAACGTGAAACCGAATCAATCCTTTAAGGCCTTAAGGGCGTTAACGGCACGCATAAGACACAAGTATAGGTTAACATTAGGTATATATAAATTTATATGTACCTGCATATTATATATAAGGAGTGATCGCCGTCGGGTTTCGGGTGTGTATTATCCACGTCTCTTCGGCCTCACATCGAAATTAATCACTGATTGAAGTATTGTTGGATATACCGGCGTATACAATTATATTACCTATCTGGCCATCGTTGTATGTAATACACAGGATATCTCACGGAAATATTCCTATTGTGCTATCTCGGATAGTAATAAGTCATAGCTTCCTTTTAGTTAAAATTCCCTAGAATCTAATTTAGTTTTTATAAACGTGAGTTATGGATTTTCACAATCAATGATAAGGCAACTTGAAAATCAGAATGTTTCGTCAATCGATTCAATAACACTCACAAAATTCATACAAAATAAACTAGAAAAAATAATTGGTGAAATACATGTAACCACAAATCAAAAACTAATTTATGTTTTACAAAAAAATATGCAATTTAGTTTTTACAAAATAAATCATAAATTTTTAACGGAGAAATTACATCTATGGTTGGGATTGCCCGATGATTTGACCGGTAATGACTTGGTTTATTTTAAGTACTTTAAGTAACAATTTTTTAGTGGAACACGCAAGCTCCTTGTTTGCTGTAAATTTCATCCTGGCCAAAACGCTCCAGATATAATGGACTTATCTAAAAATTTGGTACATAATGTATAATACACGGTTGTAAAAAATGTCGAAAAAAGGTTAAATAAAAAAAAATTAAATACGTTAGAAAAACGAAAAAAAAAGGTCGCACGGATACAAATTCAAAACCGAAATGTATATGATATTGTTCCGAATGTATGAAGCGTGAAACGAATCGCGTAGGGTCGTATTATGGTATCACGTATGGGATAAATGGAAAAAAAAAAAAAAAAAAAAAATGCAAAAGTCATCAACTTCGTACAGCTATAGCGATTTATAGGCGGCCGCCCGGGTAAGTAGGCAGACACACTCCGCCGCCGGAAGAGTCACGTGAGAAATGGCGCGGAGCAGCTGCCGTGCGACCGAAAGAGATTGACGCTCGAATTCTTGTTAATCCGGCAACAGGAATGATTTACACGAATCGCCGACTTTCCGCACGGAATGAGAACCCTGCGCCGTCGCCGCCGCCACCGACGACGTCGACGGGGCACAACCAGGCGGCAGCAGCCATTTCTCGCTTTTCTCCGCGGCCAAGGGTGAAAAATCACGTTTTGATCCCGAGCTCGGGATTTAAGACCGCGCGCACAGACGCTTCCTCCTTTCGCGGTCGTTCCCGCTCCTGCGCGCTCCCCCTCTCTCTCTCTCTCTCTCTCTCTCTTTCTCTCCGGGGGGCAACCTCGAACCGCCGGGGCTTAATGACCTCGGAATTAGTGTCGTTTCGGATAAAAACACCCGAAAGCTCGTTATTAATTACGTCATCAAAACTCACTCTAAACGATACGAGGCATCCCAGGCGTAATAACCTCTACAACGGATAAGCCCGACGGCGGGCACGTGGCTAGGCGGGAACATATTATTAATACCGTACCGACGGTTACAGGACTGTTCAGGGGCGGAAGCGGGGGAATTTGAGTTTCAAGGTCGCTTTTTTAGTGCGTTTGTTTTGTAGATTATTACGGCGATCGCCGATAGCACATTTTGCTGCAGCGCAATTCGCACGACTGTAGGATTTTATTACGGTGACCTATTTACAGTAGTATACTTATTTATACATATTTTTCTTTCGAACCCGACATTTCCGACGAGAATAATCAAAACAGTTTGTAGGTTTTTTTTTTTTTTTTTTTTTTGTTTGTAAGCCAGTTATTATTTTTTGCTTTTGTATGGAAAATATAGAATAAAGATGATATTTTTAGAATAATTTTTTTTTTTTTTTTAATGATTTCACTGTAACCTAACGTATATAGAATTATATTTTCCTGAAATTTGAATACTTTCTCTGTTGTGCCGTGGCTAGAAAGTGGAAACTAAAGTCGCATATTATTCGTTTTGATGAAATGACATACGTGCACGCGTCACTGAACATAATATTCGACTCGTATATATTATATTCTCGACGAAAAACATATTTTTTGTAAAAACGACTCGTATAGAATGCAAAATGTATTCACTTTCATATTTTTTTTTTCTTTGTTCATAATCACTATTTACTTCTTGTCAACCCTTCGGATGGATAGATATAGGTAGTTATATTATAACGTGACCGTGTATTTTTTTGTTAAAGCGAGACGCGTATCACAATCCTCCCCGAGGGCTGAGAAAAGTAGAATGGATTGGAATTGAGAGACTGACGGGATTTATACTGCAGGCGAAATCACGGGGAAAATAATACTCTAGAAAATTAAAATTAAACAGTACAAACAGTAGGTATATGCTCTAAAAATACGATGATAATAATATGTTAAATTATGAATTGAAAAAAAATTAAAAAATAGCTGATATTGCTAATGTGTGTGTCACTGTTATAGGAGGAAATTTGGGAAGGTAAGGTACACGATGTTATTTAATTTATCAAAATAATTGCTAACAAAATACAAGTCTGAGCGAAGTTCCGTTACACATGTTTTTAAATGTCGTAGTTTTAACGATTTTTATTAAAATTTTATCTTGAAACAATTTTAAAAAAATTACATAAATCGCCAACATATTTTTATAATTTAACTACGAGTAGAAAATATTTATTAGCAATATACATATTCTGTAAGCATTTTACAATTAGTCAGGTACTTAAAAGCCGTGAAAACAAAATTTAACAAACCATTTTTATGTAAATATTCGCAGTGAAAAATAATTTATTGATGATGCTTACTGCCCAAAAATAAAATATACATATCTTAAATCGTCGATCAAAAGAGAACATACATTTTTAACAGATTAAAAATCAGTAAAATAAAAAGGTAAAGGCCCGGTGCTAGTTTTCCATATTTTTCCTCACTTTTAATTATTTTAACATTTTAATGACCTCTTTGAAGATAAGACTTTTATAAAAAAATTACAAAATATACTATTTATCATTTATTTAATTTTTATAATTTATTAAATATTTAAATATTATGAACAGTACGTTTAAATAAATTATAAAAATGGTTGTTAAATGTTATTAGTTTTGTTTTGTTTATCAGTACAGATGTCATTACTTAGTTGATAGGTACTGATCATTTAATATATTATAAAATAATTGTAGAGCTCGACATTGTGTTCCATTAAAATTGAATTAAATATTGAAAATATTGTTTGAATGCAGTTATAAATGTAATTCTTTTTTTTTTTGAATATGAATGCATTCTATTTTTTTTTTTTTTTAATTTATTTTTAATACGAATACATTAAATTATTAACTCAATGAAAATAAATGCGAATGCATTGGTTTTTTTAAATGAATGTTTCAATCTCTGATTCTGTACTACCTGTACGTAACACCTAGTAAATGTACAGTTCACACACGTTTGTGCAGCTGTTAGAATATTATCTGGGAGGGGTGGGAAAAATGATCCTTTCCTCCCCAAAAAAATGTCTGGGGGTAGGTGTCCCTAGTCCTCCCTCCAAAATTACGTCACTGACATGAAGTATAATTCCGGGTTCTCACGAAGGGTGAGCCATGAGAGTGAGCCACGCTTTCGTGTGATACGTTTCTGTGAGAATGTATAGTCGTTGAACTTGCGTTCAGGAGAATACGTGCGTGACATAAGTGTGAACACATCAAACATGTTGGATTTTCAGTCATGAAAAACCTTTCGTGAAATTAAGATGTCGTCCCAACAGTATGTTTTTAAAATTCAATGAAAATGAAACATCTTATCGTGAAAGAGACGAACGCAAAATCGTATGTGTACTGTTCATGATTGGTTATTAATAAGACCAGCTTATCAGTGTGAATTATGAATATATACTCTCGTGGTTCACGCCACGTGGGAACCCGGTATAAGTATAATAATAATTATTAAAAAACATTAATCAAAAAATTGGTCTACAGAGACCTAACTAATAAAGCTTTAACCCCTTTTTTTATAAAAAAACTTACCGAAAACTTAACAAATTTCATTTAAAAACCATTTGTAAAACTAAAACCAAAAAATATCAAAAACCCGTTCACAAAATCATAAACAAAACTAAAAAAAATTTAAAAAAAAAACCTATTTTAAATCCGAAACCGTTAAAATGGATAACGGTTTTGAGCCCCGGATAAAGTGGAATTAAGCGTCAACTGTTTTATATAACAAGAGATTTCTAACGGGATTTAAAGGTAATTTCTACAAGAGTGTGATGAGGTCGACTATGTTATATGGGTTGGATGTTTGGGTGATAGATATAAAAATATAACAGATAATGAGTGTAAAAGAGATGAGAATGCTTAGATCGACGAGTGACGAGAGAACTTAGATTATGAAATGAGTACATAAGAGGTACCTTAGGTGTGATTTCGATATTGGAAAAAATGACTAAAATAGTTTGGACATGGCATGAGAAGAGATGTATCAGAAGCAGTAAAAATTATAAGGAAAATATTCATATGAGGAAAAAGGAGAAAAGGAAAACCGAAAACAAGAATAAGTACGGCGATATGAAGGATCGGATTAATCTTAAATAGTTGAAATGAAAGTGAAGAAAAAGGAGATTTACTACTTATAAACTACCCGATACACATTAAGAGAAGGGACGATAACATAACATTATTCAGACCGCATTGAACTACGAGTTTTCATTTGATTTTAAGTAATAATGCACAAAGTTTATAAAAAATTAACCAATTTAGGACGTTTCTGAGACAAAAATATTGAAATTCAAAATTTAATATGGTTTGTAAATAAATATAATCAAAATCAAACCACTCTATGAGGCATGTTTTTCCCATAAAACATTTATTTGATCAACTATAATAACCGCATAAAAATATATTTATCTATAATATAATAATAATATAAAATATATAAAATAATAATTCTGCGCATATGATTCACATTTTTGCCCGTAACGTGTAAAGGATCTATATCGAATCGGCAGCTACATAGTTACATCTCTTCCGAAAATAACATCGTAGTTATCGAATCAGACGACAAAGTCATAAAATTGCGTTTGCAATACATTTTCCGTGCTCAATAGTAACCCCGAGCACCATTGAATAATACATAGAATATCTGACCGAGATAAAGATTTATGAGCGGAATTGAAGCGCCCTTTGATCCGTTCAGTGATTTCCGTTTGTATCCGATCTATACAAGGGTTACATTTCGTCTTGGAAACCTGCACCTTTTCGGTTCAATGGCCGTTTTAAAAACTATATTTATTGTATTTATTAAATCTAAATTATTATGTTCGTTGAAAATCCTGCAGAAAAAAAACACACCCATTTATAGGTAAAAATAAATAAAAACAGCTTTATATATTTGAAAAAAAAAAAAATTAATTTAGGAAGGCTCGAAACGATATGAAAAGCTGTAAAAAATAATGATAAAGTATTACATGGTGGAGGTTCAAAATAAAAGAAAAAACCAATGGATAGAAAATAATGAAAGATAAGAGAATATGAGAAGGGTTTCTTTAGAAGCCTACATAAACCAAAGAAGATAGAGGTGATTTTAATCGATTACAAAAAATGTATCCCAAGTTTTTTGTGTTTGTAATAATATCTTATATTATCGAAATTGCGACAGATTGCAAAAATAAAATTGTATAGTTTAATTTAGTTTTTTTCCTCTTTAAGTATTATAGATAAATAGCCTCAATATCTGTATGGTTAAATATACTTTAACAAAATTCTTAAGTGGACACGTGTGTTGTCTTTGTCTTACAAATATACGACATAGGAATCTTGAATTCAGCATGCACAACTTTACGCCGTTAGTTTTAATATTAAAGTGATTGACCTATTTTTTAAAATTAAAATGTAGACAAAATAGTGTCAATGTTACACAGACAATATTCTTATCTTTAACTATGATAATTGGTCAATTCATTCTAATATAAAAACTAATGGCAATATGTTATTTCGGCTGAAAGCATATATGCAATGTCATACACTTGTAAAACAAAATCAACATATACAAGTATTCGTATTATATTTGTCCTCTTAATATTTAGCGTAAATACTAAAAATAATCACATAAAAAATATATTATCATTTTCGTATTACAATTTAAAAAACATATGTGATCGTTGTGTCATTCTAATACCTCAAAACTGGCTGAATAACTGCAAATGTCAAATGAAGTTAATTAAATAAATCTAAAAATAATAGATACTGTTTTGTAATCACATTACTATAATAACAGTATTTCACTGATGTGTCGTAAAATGTCCACTTTCTCAATTTTTCAAGAGTTATATTCCTCTGGGAAGTTAAAAAAATAAAAATAATTTGGCTCCTTTTAAAAGTATACCATCTGTGTCTCATTTATAATCTATTGATGGAGAGCTGAATAAAACTTCGGTGCATTTAAAAAAAAAAAAAAAAAAAAAAACATTATTGCAAAACCAATAGACATCTTGCTAGAAGCTTACAATGGACTTTACCCTAAAAAGAAAAACTACAGCTGCCCTTTACTAAAAACTTTTAGAACTTAAAAAAATATATATATTGATTGTTTTAACAGACGACTTTAGTTTAAAAAAAAACACAAGAGTTCAAATGACAATTTTTTTAAGTTTCTGATTTGCTTGTCTATTACGTAAATAGAAGGCCAATATACCTGTGTTTCATCTGGATTAGGTTTGAGATGGTTTTTCTGATAAAAGAGCATGGTCTG